TTAAGATACCTAGGAATAAACTTAACCAAAGAAATAAAGGACCTATTCGCAGAAAACTACAGTCATCGAAAAAAGAAATAGAGGAAGATATAAAAAAGTGGACGCACATACCTTGTTCATGAATTGGAAGAATTAACATAATTAAAATGTCCATACTACCCAAAGCAATCTACAGATTCAATGCAATCCCCATCAAAATACCAATGACACATTTCACAGAACTAGAACAAATACTTCGAAAGCTCATATGGAACCAAAAAAGACCTCAAATAGCCACAGCAATCTTGAAAAAGAAGAACAAAATTGGAGGGATCACATTACCAGATTTCAGGTTATACTACAAAGCCACTGTAATCAAAACAGCCTGGTACTGGCATAAGAACAGGCATATAGACCAGTGGAATAGAACAGAGAACTCAGAAATGGACCCAAGGCAATATGCTCAATTAATATTTGACAAAGGAGGCAAGAACATACAGTGAAATAAAGACAGCCTCTTTAATAAATGGTGTTGGGAAAATTGGATAGCTACATGCAAAAAAATGAAACTAGACCATCAACTTACACCATACACAAGAATAAACTCAAAATGGATAAAAAACTTAAATGTGACCCTTGAATCCATAAAAATTCTAGAAGAAAATGTAGGCAACAAAATTTCAGACATCATACACAGCAGAATTTTCACTGATACATCACCTAAGGCAACAGAAACAAAGGAGAAAATGAACACATGGGACTACATCAAACTCAAAAGCTTCTGCACAGCAAAAGATACAGTCATCAAAATGGAAAGGCAATCCACTATATGGGAGAGCATAAATGCCTATGATGTATCAGATAAGGGGTTAATTTCCAATATATATAGAGTGCTCATACTACTCAACAAAAGGAAAACAAAGAACCCAACTAAAAATGGGCAGAGGAACTAAATAGGCACCTCTCCAAACAGGACATACAAATGACCAAGAGACATATGAAGAACTGCTCAACATCACTAATCAGAGAGATGCAAATTAAAACAACAATGAGGTATCATTGCACACCTGTCAGAATGGCCACCATCAACAAATCATCAAACAACAAGTGTTGGTGAGGGTGTGGAGAAGAGGGGACTCTAGTACACTGCTGGTGGGAATGCAGACTGGGGCAGCCACTATGGAAAACAATATGGTGTTACCTCAAAAAATTAAAAATTGAACTGCTATTTGACCCAGTGAGCCCACTTCTAGGAATATACCCTAGGAAGCCTGAAACACCAATCAGAAAGAATAGATGTACCCCCATGTTTGTAGCAGCACTATTTATAATAGCTAAGATCTGGAAACAGCCCAAATGTCCATCAATAGACGAATGGATAAAAAAGCAGTGGTACATATACCAATGGAGTACTATGCAGCTGTAAGAAAGAAAGATCTCTTATTCTTTGAGACAACATGGAGGGACCTGGAAAGTATTATCCTAAGCAAAACAAGCCAAACAGATTAAGACAAGTATCATATGATCTCATTTATCTGTGGAATATAATGAACATAACAGTCTGAGGAATGGGGTAGTCCCAGAGACATGGAAGTGGGGTACAGACTGACAATCCCCAGAAGAGGGGGTGGTGGGGGAGAGATAAACCACAGAACTTATATGCATGTGTGCATGAACAATGGACATGGACAACAAAGCTGGGGACAGGGTGGGGAGGGATGGGGAGGGAGGAATCAGTGGGGAGAAAAGGAGAAACATCTTGAACAAAAATTAATTAATTAATTTTAAAAAAATAAAAGAAAAACATAAAAGTTTATTTTTAGTTTTATCTAATGGTAAAAAGTTTGCAGGAGTTCAGCAAACTATGGCCCTGGGTCAAATCTGCCTACTCTGATTTGTATATAGCCCATGAGTTAAAAATTGTTTTTACATTTATAAATGTTGGAAAAAATAGAATGGAGAATAATATTTTAGGACATGTGGAAACTGCATGAAATTCAAATATCAGTGTAGTTGCCCCAGAGACTCTATGTCCTGCTAAGTCTAAAATATATATGTTACCCTTTCTAGGAAAGGTATGCTCACCCCTGGTTTAAGATTGGTGTTCAATTTGTTAAAACATGAGCCCTGGCTGATTTGGCTCAGCAGTTGGAGGGTCAGCCTGTGGACCAATGAGTCTCGAGTTTGCTTCTGGTCAAGGGCATATACCTTGGTTGCAGTTTGTCCCCAGCCCTGGTTAGGGTCGTATGGGAGGCAGCCGGTTGGTGTGTCTCTTTCACATCGATGTTTCTCTCTCTCTCTTTTTCTCTTTCTTTCTCCCTCCCTCCCACTCTATCTAAACAACAATGGAAAAATATCCTTGGGTGAGGATTAAAAGCAAAACAAAACCAATAAAACCCCCAAATCAAAATTTTAGTGTGTTTTTAAGCTTTTCAAAAACTAGGTTGTTACACATCCATAAAACCACCACCACTACAATCAAGATAAGAACAATTCCATCACCTTGAAGAGAGGTTCCATCCCTCTGCTGGTGGAGCCAGGAAAACAATGATCTGCTGCCTGTCATTACAATTGTCCCCCCCCCCCCACCCCCCCACTTCCCGCTTCAAGGACATTTACGGCTTCACTCTATCGCGGTTTTTTCAAATACTATACTACTGTATTTTAATATGCATTTTCTAAAATTTTATACAAATAGATTCATAAAGTAAGTACTCTTTTGTGTTTGGCTTTTTTTTTTTTTTTAATCTAGTCTACAGATTTTGAGATTCATTCATGTTGTATGTATCAGTAGTTTGTTCCTATGTTTTGTTATACTTAAAAAAAATAAAATAAACTATTGCCCTGGCCGGTTTGGCTCAGTGGTTAGAGTGTTGGTATGCAGCCCAATGAGTTTTGGGTTCGATTCTGGCCAAGGGCACCTACCTCGGTTGTGGTTCGTCCCTGGCCTTGGTCAAGGTTGTGTGGGAGGCAACCTATCAATGTGTTCCTCTCATGTCGATGTTTCTCTCTCTTTTTCTCTCCCTCTCTTCCACTCTATCTGAAGATAAATAGAAAAATATCCTCCAGTGAGGATTAAGAAAATAATAAAAAAATAAACTATTTAATTTTCAGTCTAAAATTTTTGTATTATGAAACATTTCTACATACCTGACAAAAAAGCTCCAAATAGTGTATGAACCCCCATTTTTTAGAAAGAGAGGAAGGGAGAGATAAAAACATCAATGGAAGAGAACACTGATTGGCCGCCTACTGCATGTCTCCCACTGGGGACTGGACCCAAAACCTGGGCATGTGCCCTGACTTGGAATCGAACTGGTGACCTCTTGGTGCATGGGTCAACGCTCAATCACTGAGCCACATTGGCCAGGCCCCAGATTTCTTCTTAATACAGAAATATTTCTATTATGGTTTTGATTCTCCTAAACCTTCCATGTTAATTAGTGTTCCAGAGTGGGAAGATAAAAAGTGCTGGGGGGGACTGTCACCATCCCAGTGACCTGAAGTGGCCGGCCAGGGGAGGCAGATGCTACACTAATTAACTGACGTGATTTAGAGCAGAGCTTGGGGTAGGACCTGAGTTTTACCGTTGCAGACATGCAAGGGTTTATCGCCCCTGCTGTCATACTAAGTCCCTTTTGGTAAGTACTACGTAGAGGCTTTTCAGGCTTTAACGGTGCTCACTTTGGGCTCACACAGGGCAGCAGCAAGAGTCCATTCATCCCTTGGTTAGATTTGCATCTTTTGGTTCCTAATTTATTTCCTATCTAATTCTAAAGATCTCTGAACTCACAGAGATCTAAAAATATATATATTTTCGTTTATCTGTTGTCACCTGCAAATACTATAGTATGTATCTCTAATACATTAGAACTTTAAAAAGTAACCTTGGAGTGTGGTGCTGGAAGAGATAAACTGAAGAACTTATATGCATATATGCATAACCAATGGACACAGACTACAGTGTGGTGAAGGGGGGGAGTGTGTCAATGGGGGGAAAAGGAGGGACATCTGTAATACTTTCACCAATAAAAAAATCAATTTATAATTAAAAAAATTAAAAATAAAAAGTAACCTTAGTGCCATTAGTTCATGTAATAGAATTAAGAATTACTTAATGTCAGGTAACTCTGTGTTCGCCTCTTATTTCTCCATTTGTTTCAAAAAGGTATTTTTCCAATTTTTCCAATAAGAATCACATTGAGGCCATATGGTATTTGGTCTCCAACGTCTTTTCACCTATTGCAATCTTCCATCCCCTTATGCCATTGATTTATTGAAGAAACTGGGTTGTTTCCTGTAATTTCCCATATTCTGGGTTTGGCTGATTGCTTCTTGGTGGTATGAAGTCTTTAAATTCTTTTTTATCTCCTATATTTCTAGCGGGCTTTATCTGCTCTTTGTTTGTTTGATTTTTCTGAGGTCGAGAATCCTTCATAGGTAGTTAAATATATTTTCTAACCAGCAAAGACTTGAACATGATAAGACCTTGCATTCTTTTTTGTTATTTCTAAGATATTTAAAATGGTAAACTGATTGACATTTGGATATCCCACATGGCTTTCAGTTGGACTTGGCAGTCACAACCCACATCATAGCTAACTTTTATTAAGTGCTTTCCATGGGCCAGGCACAATGCTAACCAAGCACCTTGCCTAAATGCTTATTCAATCTTCTAAATATCTGGCAGACGAGAACACTAAAACTTAGTTTTATTTACCCCAGTTAGTAAGTAATGGTGAGACTTCAGGGGTGGAATTGGAATCCAACTTCCTAGCACTTCCTGCTCTGAGCAATTCCTTCTCTGTCTCCGCCTTTTCTGATTCTCACAGAAGCCTGCAGGTGTCAATTACTGGGAAGTGTTCCTGCCCCGCCCCGCCCCGCCCCGCCCCGCCCCGCCCCGCCCCGCCCCGCCCCGCCCCGCCCCGCCCCGCCCCGCCCGGTCCCGGGTCAGTCAAGTGGGCGCCGGGAAAACCACACTTCCCAGAGTGCACCGCGACCACGAAGGCCTCACTACCGGCGTCCGCTCGCCGGCGCCATTTATGTAGCCGGGAACGGCGGTGCGGCCTGCGGTCATGGCGCTGTTCCCGGCCTTTGCGGGCGTCAGTCCGTCTCCCGAGAGCGTGAGCACCAGGAAAGGTAAGCACACAAAAGGGATGAAGAAGACACTAGGCGGGCTGAAGACGCAGTTCCTCGGCCCTTGCTTTGGATTTGTTTACCCACTTGTGTCCCAGAGTTCTCTGCGGCGCTGCAAAGCCTTCTGGGAAGGGCTCCTGTCCTAGTTCCGGCTTCTCGGGACTCGAATGTGTAGAGTTATAGAAGGAGAAGGACCTGGGGGAGGCTCTGGAGCTGGGACGTACCATGAAATCATTCTTCCTCGGAGCCTCAGTCACTTCACCTATAAAATGGGAATGATGGTAGTCCAGGTCTCAAGGAGACTCCTGATGCACATGCTGGGTGTTCTTCGTGCCCTCTTTCCTGTTTTACCTATTTCTGAAATGCTTATTGGGTTCATATATTTAGGCGGGCCTAGAACTAGGGGTTTAGGACCCAAAGCCCAATCAAACAGTTTCTCTGCAAACAACCACAGCTCCTGGGAACTAACATTTATTTATTGAGAGCTACTGTCTGCCAGGTGATGGCACGATACCTTTTTTGTAAGCCTTAAATGTCCCAGGAGGTCTTCACTGTTAAAAATTGAGGCACAGGCATACCTCGTAGATGTTGAAGGGTTTGGTTCCAGACCACTGCAGTGAAGCGAGTTGTGATCTTGTTGCTGGTGGAAGGTCTTTCGTTTGTAAAAAAACAACAACAAAAAAACTCAACACCGCAGAAGCACAGTAAAGTGAAGCTTAATAAAAGGAGGCATGCCTGTAGTGAATTGTAATTTAAAGTAATTTCAAATCGTGCACTTATGTGATGGAATCCGATCGTGTCTAACCTCTTTTATATGCTCTCATATACCTAAACCTATATTATGGTAACACTTACCACAATTGTAATTTCTTATATAATTAGTGTAATTTTGGTCCTCCTTTACTGACTGTAACCTCCCATGTGGTCAGGGACAGTGTTTGTTTATTCACTGTAACATGCTTAGCCTCTAGCAGAGGTCCAAAATATAGTAGGTGTTCACGAAATATTTGCTGAATGTACACACCAATAGTAGGTGCTTAACAAAGAATTAGCAGTACAGGGTAGGATGTTATAGATGTCATAGGTGAACTACTGGAATAATGACTTCTAAAGGGAGCTTCATATAAAACTTTATATAGGAGCTAACTTTAGGGATGCATCTTCAGGAGGGTAAGGATTTGGGCAAATAGAGATAGTGGAAGGGCATCCCAGGGCCTTCAAAGGCATGCAGGAAGGGAAGCATGAAATGTGCAGAGAACTGCAAACAGTCCAGTTTTCTGGAAATGTAGAGGCATACAGAGCAGCCTTGGGAAGTATGCTTGGGACTGGTGGGTGAGAGAGGGTAATGACTTGAATAACAGGCCAGCCGTTTATCCTTTTATTTTGGAATGGTGACATGCAAGGTGTATAAGGGAGCACTGCTCTTGTCATTTATCTTAACCATTATTTATTGGACATCTGGGTATTCCACATAAGGATAATGTTTGTAAAAGTGCTGTTTGGAAAGTACTGCATTTTTGAAATTTAAACACATTATTACTCATAATGAAATGAACTATAATTCCTTTTTTATCCTTCTATTGATTTTTTAGAGAGGAAGGGAGGAGAGAGAGATAGAAACATCGATGAGAGAGAACATTCGCTGGCCGCCTCCTGCATGCTCCCCACTGGGGATTGGGCCCACAACCTGGGCATGTGCCCTGACTGGGACTCGAACCAGCGACCTCTTGGTGCATGGGTCGACGCTCAATCACCGAGCCACATTGGCTGGATTATAATTTCTTAATATCATCTAATTGTCAGTCAATGTTCACACTTTCCAACTTGTCTCAAACATGGTCTCTTATAGTTGGTTTGTTCAAATCAGGATCCAAAAAAGATCCAACATTGCATTTTGTGGTATGTCTCACAGGTCTCTTTTAATTATAAAGTTTCTCTCCCCCATTTTCCACTGTGATTTATTTGTTGTGGAAACTGGGTCATTTGTCCTGTACACATTTCCCACCAAATCCTCATGGTGTCATTTAATATGCTTCTCCCAGTATTTCCTGTAAACTGGTAATTAGATCTAGAGAGTTAATTAGATTTAGACTTTTTTTTTTTTTGGTTGAAAATACTTCATTGAGGGTGCTCTGCACTTGGTGTTGAATTAGATCAGGAAGATCTGCTGTCTGGTTTTCTCTCCCTTAGTAATGTTAAGATCAGTCAGTGGGTTCCTGGACAACCTGATTCATTCATTTTGAAGCTGCCTGTCAGCCTTGCACCTAATAATTTATGCAGCTATTTATGATTATTGCTTAAATCCATTTCTTTGGGGTTACAAAATGGTTATTTTCTAATTTTAGCATCCCTCCCATATTTATTAGCATCGATTATTTTATAAAGAACTTTTCTCAACACTATTGGGATACTATGAAATACAGTATAAACCATTTCCTCTGCCTAGATGTTTCCTGCCTAGGACTTAGATTTGCCCAAGTCCTTCTCATCTTAGATCTTAACTGAGATGTTCCTCCAGGCACGGATGTTCTCTCATCCATATCTAGTTTGGATTAGGGACCCTAGGTATGTACTCTCATTATATGTTGAGTATTTTCTCTATCTTGGCATTTGTCACATTGCATGTAATGACTGCCAGTTTGTCAGCTCCCTGAATGTTGTGTTGGGTTTGTCTTGTTGGTTTTGCATTCCTGGCACCTAGGACAGTGCCTGGCTCAGTAAGTAAAGTGCTGAATGAAAGAAAGGTACTCAGAGAGATTATTTTGTTCAGAGTTGTACAACTAATAAACAGTAAAGCCAGTATTTGAACACAGCTTCTTCTGACTCCAGAACTTGTGTTTTAAACCACACTATGATATTAGGATTTTGGTTGTTTATATGGGGTTCCTGTGTATTTTCAAATTGTAGCTTTATCCTGTGCAAGAGCAGACTTTACTTAGGGTCTATTTAGTCATCATTTTAAGTACAGTTCTGAGCCATGTTTTCTGAAGCTTTTTTGTAGGAATGTTTGTGCTCTCAGAGTCTTTGTCAGAAAGTAAGGGTTTGGATCAACATAAAGAGCTTGGCTCATTCTTTTTAACGGAACAACCCCATCCCTAATATATATATATAGTTTATGATTATGCACTAATTTAGTTTATGATTATGTATAAGGTTATGATACTTGTTCACCATTGTACCCCCTAAAGCCTAGAACTGTGCCTGGGCTCATAGTAAGTATTCAGTACTCTGTTTTTTAATGATTAAATCTCTACTTACAATGAAGACTGGAATAATATAATAATTGTATTTTATACCTCCATAATGGCACACTTTGGGCACTCTCTTTCGTCTGTTCAGTAAATTAGGTGCTGGGATACAAAGATGCAAAGATATAGTTCAGATCTTTATTCACTTAATTATTTGACAAATATCTTTGTGCCAAGGCACTGTGCTAGTAGTTGGGAACACAGAGTGAGTAGTCATGGCTTCTGCCTTTGTGTTGCTTTTAGTTTGAGAAGAAAGGAGTGGGAGGGAGAAGAGGGGAGCTGGAAACTTGGATGCAAGAGTTGTAAACCAGTCAGTGTATTTGTTTGGCTAGCAAAATATTTTTGTTTTGTCTTTTTTCTGTTGTCACTCCCTATAGTGTCCCAGTAATCATTACTAATCTGGTCCCTGTAGGGATTTGAGTGCTAGGCCTTTGGTTTAGAATATAGTGGGAAGATTGACATGTAGATAATGAGACTGCAATATGAAAATTGCCATAGTAGCCCCATGTACCAGTTGCAGGGAGTCTTGGAAAACCAGCTCCTTGGCGGAGGAGGTGAGGAGCAGCACCATGGCATGGTGGATAGAGAATCGCAGATCCAGGTTCAGATGTGTGCCCTTGGCCTCCTGACCTAACTTTGGGCCTACGGCTAGTGATCTGTAAATGAGAGTGCTACCCAGACTGTGCTCCAGAGAGCCTTCTCAGACCCACCCCCTTCCTCTGAACCCAACAAGAGCATCCTTGCTTTCTGTGTTCTGCGTGCTGGACTTCTCTAAAAGATTTGGTTTGAACAGTGTGTTCCTGGGCTAAAAAAAAAGTTTTAAATTCTCTTGACTAGATCTTCAAAATTCCTCCAGGCCCACCATCCGATAATGAGTTACTTCTGATATTTCATACATGTTCTCTGTTACAATGCTACCAAAAAGCAAATAAACAAAGAAAACCCATGAAGCAACTTTTTATCAGGTGAAAATACCCTTTGCCTTGACAAAAAGTCGTTTGCTTGAGATGAAGGGCACACAGAGGGTTAGTGATGATTTGAGTTCAAAACCCAAGAGTTTTAGTTCTTTATAAAGTTCTTCCCCCCTCCCCCCAGGGATCCCATATGGCAAAGCCTTAAGTGTACCCTTAAAAACCCTTTCTTGTACCTTCTGAAGGACTTTAGAGAGGCACACATTTTGTGTTTTGGTATTTTTATTTCTTTACCTCTCCTCCAAGCTGTATCACTATGCAGAATCTTTATGTAAAATATACTGGAATTGCCCAGGCTGGTTTGGCTCAGTGGTTAGAGCGTTGGCCCCACGGACCAGAGAGTCCCTGGTTCAGTTTCTGCTAAGGGCACGTACCTCAGTTGCAGTTTGCCCCCGGCCCCAGTTCGGGTCATGTGGGTGGCAGCCACTCATTGTGTCTCTCTCACATCGACATTTCTCTCTCTCTCTTCCCCCCTCTCTCCCTCCCACTCTATCTGAAGATAAATGCAAAAATGTCTTCAGGTGAGGATTTAAAAAAAAAAATACACACACACACACACACACACACACACACACACTGGAATTGTTTGAGAGCATTTTTCTTTGCATACTGTTTGTCCCATCTTTCCCTACTTTTCCTTTGTTCATTATAGAATCCAATTATTGTGGAAATAATTTTGATCTCAGCGAGCAACAGGAACTATATCACATGCCTCTTGCCAGGAATTAGGCCCAAGGGAAGGGAACCAACCTCAGAAGGAAAAAGGAGACAGTAGAAGAAAGATCATGTGAACAGTTGTTTAGCAATTACTGAGTGTGACCTTACAAATTACTTAATCCCTTTGAACCTTAGTTTCCTCTTCCCTACAGTAGAGATCATAATACCTCCCATAGAGGATTAAAGGGTATAAGGATGTAAAGTGCTTAACCTAGTGCTCGGCCTACTGTAGGCACTTACTAAATTAGAATTGCTCTCTTCTTTTCCCCTTTTCCTGTGCTTTTTAATGTACCTCTCCTCCTTAGGAATTTTCCTTCCTTGCTCCCATTTTTCACAAATACTTGTTTAACTCCTACTAATGCATGTCAGGCATTGGTTCCAATGCTGGGGATACAGCAGTGAATAAAACAGAGTACCTGTCATCAAGGACTAGAGTGCAGAATATTTAAAGAACTCTTAAAACTCAGAAGTAGAAAGACAATCCAATTAAGAAATGGGCAAAGGATTTGAATGGTTATTTCTATTCTAGTATGAATGGCCAGTGAACACATGAACAGTTGCTCAGCATCAGTAGTCACCAGGGAAATGGAAATCAAAACTACAGTGAGAAATCCCATCACACCTACTCTGATGACTCTAATGTAAAAGACAGGCAATAACAAGTTGGCAAGGACAGGGAGACATCGGAATCCTCATACATTATTAGTGGGAATGTGAAATGGTGCAGCCTGTTTGGAAAACAGCTTGGCAGTTCCTCAAAATGCTAAACCTGCGTTACCTAGCAGTTCTGCTCCTAGATACCAACCCAAGAGAAATGAAAACATGTTCATATAAAAACTTGCACATGAATGTTCATAGCAGCGTTATTCATAATAGCCCCAAAGTGGCAACAACCACTTTATCCGTTTATCCATTAACTGATGAATGGATAAAATATGGCATAATCCATAAAATATTATTTGGCAATAAAAAGGAATAAAGTGGTGATGCGTGTTATAGCATGGATGAACCTTGAAAACATGTCAAGTGAATAAAGCCAGTTGCTAAAGACCGTATGTTGTATAATCTTGTTTATGTTGAATGTTCAATATAGGCAAATCTATAGAGAAAAAAAGTCAGAGATTTCCTTGTACTGGGAGTCAGGGTGGGGGAATAGGAGAGTGACTGCTAATAGGTATGGGGTTTCTTTGGGGATGATGAAAATGTCCTAAAATTATCTTATGGTGATATTGCACCATATTCTAAATATTCTAAAAATCCGCTGAATTGCTCACTTGATATAGTTGAACCTTATGATATATAAATAATATCCCAGTACAGCTGTTGAAAATATAATTATCCTTCTCTCTTCTAACTGCAACCATTTTCTCAGCATATGACTATGCTCTGGCCACCCATCCTAAAACAAAATAGGACTGATACAAACCCCTCGATGGGCCCCCTTCCTGCTACTGTCCCATGATTTTTTTCATTTCCTTCATATCTAAGACCCCTGAAAGTTAGAAAATAAGTAATTTAGAAATAATTCATTGTAGAAGAGTCAGAAATTAATGGATAAGCAGGAAAAAAAAGTTTTCAGACATTTAATCTTATTACCTACCCAAAGATAATCATTGTTAATATCTTTGTATTTATTTATTAATTATTTTTTTATTTATTGATTTTGCAGAGAGGAAAAGAAAGAGAGGGAGAGAGAAACATGGATTGGTTGCTTCCTGCATGTGCCCTGACCAGGAATTGAACCCACCACCTTTTGGTGCATGAGAAGATGCTCCAACCGAGCCACACCAGCCAGGGCAATCGTTATTAATATCTTATATAATTTAACATTAGCTAGAAAAGTTGATACCTTGTTGTTGTTTTTTTAATCCTTACCTGATTGGTTGCCTCTTGTAAGTGTTGACTAGGGATAAAACCCAAAACCTAGGTATGTGCCCTGACTGGGAATTGAACTCACAACCTTCTGGTGTATGGGATGATGCTCCAACCAGCTGAGCCCCTACCCTTGTGCTTTTATTTTCAAAGAGGAGTACTGTTTGTTGTAAAGAAAGGTTTGTGGTAACTAAGATAAAACATTAGAATATTCTTTTAAAGAAAAATATTTTAATCTTCTGTAATAATGTTAAGCATGGTGGGCTTTTATACATGATTTGATTTTTTTAACTTTCTGGAATTACCTAGGTCAGATTTGAGGTCATTACAACCTAATGCTTAGGAAGCCTTTGTGCTCATTAGGTGGATGGAATGCATAAAACCTTCTTGCCTTTTAGGCAACACTTGTTACATGGCTTTTGCTTAAGCCACAGCCTCACATCACAGAGGATTCCAGTCTAAACTACTTTAGAGTGCGTTAAAGCCCTGAGCCCTGTGAAGTAAAAAATTTATGGATTACCTTTGGCCTCTGTAGACCATTCTAAATATCTGGCTGACATTGGCTGTGAAGTAGGATGCCAGCTGGTAAGAAGGATTTCCTGCTTTAGAAATTGTACTGAGCTCATTTCATTGATCTTTTCTCTTTTTTACATGTGCAGAATTAGACTGGCTAAGCAACCCAAGCTTTTGTGTTGAAACCGTAACAACTCTGAGCCAACAAACTGAAGAGGCCGCAGCCCTTGTTTCTGAAGGCTCACCACTGACGAGGTAGTATTTTTGATAGATGGAGTTTTAGTCTTTGTCAGTGCACTGTCTGTGGCTTAGCTTGAATGATGCTCCGTAGAAAACCCTGTGATGGGAGAGCTAAGTAAAACTCTTACTTAAAGTGATGAGGTGGCCTTTGAGTGTTTTCTCTTACCTCTTACAGATTATTCCGGTCCCCCACTTTGCATTGCAGGGGCAGCTACATGACACAGTTACTGGCAGTAATTAGGCCATGAGGGAAATGGCATCATTGTGATTCTTATTTACGAACCTCTTAGTAACCTTTAGACTATTGATCAACATAGAATTCAGATATTTGTTTAGTTGCATTTTTAATACTTGTGTAAAAATAAGAGGAGCTTGTGTAATATAATGTGGGGAAGGGGGGAAATTCTCTCTCTCCTCTGGTTCTTTCTGGCTGGACAGATAATAAATCAACAGGAGGTAGATTGACAAGAGAAAATGAAATTAAAAATTTTTTTCCTTTATTGATTTTAGAGAGAGAGGAAGTGAGAGAGAGAGAGATAGCAACATCGATGAGAGAGAACATCAATTGGCCGCCTCCTGCATGCCCCCCACTGGCGATCTGACCCACAACTTGAGCATGTGTCCTGACCGGGAATTGAACTGGCGACCTCTTGGTGCATGGGTCGATGCTCAACCACTGAGCCACATCAGCCGGACAAGAGAAAATAAAATTTAATATTGTGGGCACAGGAATCCCACATACAGGAGAGAGTCAGAGACCGCCGCATACATGAGAGGTTCAGAGGTGGAAAGGGAGATTGAGGTATATAGACGTGCTGAATGAGGGACGAGGCAAGGTGCCTTGGGGCTTCAAAAGGTCATTGCAGGATGATAAGAGCAGACTTTTAGTAAATAGAAGTTTCCTACCCTGTATATAGGTCAGAAGTTACCCTTGATCATCTGTTATAGGCAAGGCCTCTAATTCAAATTCTTCTAGGTACAGTAAACCCTTGATTTTGTAGATCTCGATTTAACGGACTGAATTTTTGGTCCATATGTCATATGTGAAAATTAACACCCTGTTTATTTTAAAATGTTTTTAACCAAGATTTGCTTGTAGTTAAATTAACAGGTTATTTTTGTCATTAATTCACTTCTTAACAGATTTTAGCGAATAGGCCATATGTTGGAATAAACACTGTAGTGATTTTGCCAACATATAAGTAAATATTACATATCTACAACTATAGTCTACATATTTAAATCCAGAGTCATCGCTCATAAACAATATCTACAAAATGATTAGCACATGATCACTCCGCATCACGATGTGTGATAGTTGGTTCTGTTGTTTCCTGGCGGGACTTTATGAAGCAGTTTTAACTCCTGCTAACATTCTGACGTGCTAAGCCACACCCCTGCCATGTGCATTTGTTTACTCGTGGTGACTGGTGAACGCATGCATTTACTAGACCTATTCAGTATAAATTTACTGTAATACATATAGAAAGCTTTTCTGTGAAATTAAACTTTTAACATAATTTTAATTACACAAATGTGTCTACATAAGTAAAAACAGGTAAACTAATTTGTCAATTTTTTAATATACACATTCAGAAAACATACTTTATTATATAACAAACTTTTGGCTTTAACGGACCCTCCCCCCCACTCGAATTAGTCCGTTATATCGAGGTTTTACTGTAGTTAAGGAAGGGGGAAGGGAGGAGAAGTTTCTTTTGAGCCTGAAGCTAAAATTGCCTTCAGCTCCCATACCACTGAGGCACTTCTGGGGTAGCTTGTTCTGGACTCCCACAGTAGCATAGGGTAGAAGCTCACGAACACTTTAGGGAAAGCAAATGGTACACATCTCTACCCGGCTTTGAAAGAATTTTGTTGTAGATTATTGAATTGAGAAATAAGCTCTCTGACCATTACAGACTAGATGGTTCATTAATATAATGAACCCTAGGCCCTGGCCAGTTTTGCTCAGTGGTTAGAGCGTCGGCCCCAGGACCAGTGAGTCTCAGGTTCCATTCTGGTTAAGGGCATGCAGGAGGCAACCAGTTGATGTGGCTCTGTCATGTCGATGTTTCTCTCTGTCTCTCTCTCCCTCCGTCCCTCCCTCCCACTCTATCTGATAATAAGTAGAAAAATACCCTCAGGTGAGGAGTATATACATATATACATATATATATGTAAAATGAACCCTAGGAAGCCATGTACTCTAAAAGTGGAAGAAACCTTTGGAAATTGAGAATAGTTGATGCATGAGAGGAAGTTGTTTGTAGATATTTCAGTGATAATAAAGAGCTCATTATAACCTTTAAAAACAAGGACCAGAATTAAACCATGGGTTGTTCTTTTTTTGGCATTAAGAACATGGTGGTATAATGTGTAGGACTGAAAATAAACCTTTTATAATGTTTTTAAAAAGACTATATTTGAACCCTGGCCAGTTTGGTTCAGTGGTTAGAGCGTCAGCCTGCAGACCAAAGAGTTTGTGGGTTCTATTCTAGTCAAGGGCATGTACCTTGGTTGCGGTTCGATCCCTGGTCCTGGTTGGGGTCGTGGGGGAGGCAACCAATCAGTGTGTCTCTTTCACATTGATATTTATCTCTCCCTTTCTCCCTCCTACTCTGTCTGAAAATCAATGGAAAAACATCTTCAGGTGAGGATTTAAAAAACAAAAACAAACTATATTTGATAAAATAACCAGTAGATTACTTTTGTTTAGAAATGTATAGGTATGAAAGCATAACTTCAGAAGCTATTAAAACGAGAATTTCTTCACCTGGTTTCATTTTAGATCCAACTCTTAACATCTTTACAGGAAGATACTGTATAATGTATGGGAAAATAGTAAGTCTGTGTGAGCATTTTTAGAATTTCCTTTTATATATTTGTTTATTTGGTTACTTGTTTACATATTATTTTCCCTGATTCTCTTCTAAAGAGTCTAATGTTGATTTTCCCAAACAGGGATCCTCCTCAGTCAGAGCCTTCAGGTGAAGGTGACACAAACAGAAAGCTCAGACCAGCAAGCAGAAAAAAGAAGAAAGAGAAAAAGAAGAAGAGGAAGCATCAGCACCACAAGAAAACCAAGAGAAAACGTGGGCAGTCAGGTAGCAGTGGGTCTGAGCCAGACACTGATTCTGAAAAGGACAAACCTTCCAGAGGCTTCCGAGACGGTAACAGAGAATCAGAGAAACTGAAGTAGGTTTTCTGTTCTCCAACACTTACGATATTTTAAATCTTTAGTTTTTCTCCCTTGATTACTGCCACAAGTTTGACAGTTAACTGATTATATAACTACTCAGTCAAAACAGTTAATAAATATCTCGATAAAGCTGGGAAAAATAGACCTCTAGCGTTTGGTCAGCATAAAAGGAAAGAAAAGGAAACTGTGACAAATGAGAGCCATGATTTTATTTGAGAAATGTTAATTAGGCACAGTATGATTGTGTCAAACCTGACTGAGACAAAAAGACTTTGGGAGTTTTGAATGATGGCAGATGTGCCACATGGGGGCATGTAGGCTGGGTCGCATGAGGGCGTTGGCCTCCACGCTCACAAAAAGAGAAATGTCGTCTCTTCATTGTGATACATCTTCCTTTCAGTCAGTCCCGTTACCACCCCCATACACACACACACACACACACACACACACACACTCTTTGGTGAAGGTTAATTATAGCCCTTGAAAATAATTGTTGCTTTGCCTTGGCCAGTTTGGCTCAGTGGTTAGAGTGTCTGCCTGTGGACCAAAGAGTCAAGGGTTCGGTTCCGGTCAGGAGCACGTACTCCGTTGCCATTCCATTGTCCCTGGTTGGGTCATGTAGGAGGCAACTAGTCAGTGTGTCTCTTCACATCAGTGTTTCTCTCTTTCTCTCTCTCTCACTCTATGTGAAGATAAATGGAAAAAATATCCTGGGGTGAGAATTTTAAAAAGAATAATAATTTTTGGTTTTGTCCATTTCTCATTTCACATTTTTGAGAACCCGTGTTGAAGGTATAAAATAGCTCGGGACCACAGTATTTCCTTTCCTTGGGGCTTCGTTTCTACACAAATTACACTGCTGTCTGTCTGTCTTGAGCACATTGTTGCAGTCTTTCTGCAGACCGGTCAAAGTGTGGGTTCTCAGCGATAGCTGGTCCTCTCTGTGTGGTCCTCCTCCTGCAGAGGGAGGCGCCTTGCCCAGAGGTGCGACAGTTACTGTGTGACAGTACATGAGTTATTCCTCATATTCCTTTTTTTCTTTGTTCACTAGTCCAAGGCATACTAAAAAAATGACTGCTGTTAAGATTTTTGTGATTCTTGAGGGGTTATTTGCTTTTGTTGTGTGCTTTGAAGTCCCCTTGATGTCAGTGAGGGCTCTGTTGGAGCAGGTGTGCAATCTGGCCCGTGGTGTTTCCATCAGAGAGGCGAACACCCTTCTGCTGTCAGATCAGTGTCTGATCAGCACTGCAGGCCTCTGGCTCAGAGGATCCAGGTTTATTCAGCCCTCTGTGTATCTCAGGTGCTCTGCCTGTGACCCTAACTTGCTCTAGGAGGAAAAAGAAAGGGGTCAAGCAAAAGGGTCTGAATTTGACTGACTTTGTGTGGGCAGGAACCATGTTCCCCTTGCTGGCCGTTGTACCTCCCAGCCTTGGCACAGGGCCTGATACATACTAATGTGCACACTGAATATATTTTTATTTATGTGAATGAATGAATATATTGATATTCTTGCTTTTTTTTTTGCATGTCTTCAAAGAAAAATATATTAATTGTTTTATCTTCTGAAAACTCACCGTTAGCTACTTGTTCTTTTTTATAGCTGAGGAAAAAAAGCTTTAAAGGATTTCCTGAACACATGTAGGAACCACCATTAGAACCGGAAAGATAGCTGTTTTCAGCCTGTGCTCAACCACGTAAGAGGTGGTCTTTGCAGCCTCCTCATAGTTGTATGATCCAGACCGCATTTTTAAGTTTATTGATATTTTGCAGAATATCCCCAATTAAGATCAAAATAAAAAGTTTTTCCTTCTATTTTACTTTCTTACTATTAACGTTTGTAGTCTCTTCCTGGGACGGTGATCTGGAAGAATTGTTTGTTCCCGTACTGACAAGATACTAGGGAGTTCTGAGTCTTCCTGTGATGTCAGTAAAGTGGATTCATGGGGGTTGATACAGCATATAGGTCTCCAGGTCGAAGAACAACTTCCGCCGAGGCTGACTGACGTTTGTTTCCCAGAACGACTTCTTCACCTTCAGGTGGAGGCAGATCCCTCCTTGCGCACAGCCCAGACCACATCCTGCTTCCTGCCCTCAGTATCCAGTGGGAGGGACAAGGGCTTGCTTACTCCCAGGGGTGGTCTGCAGCTGGCCCGTCCTTCTTTTACCCCCAATTGGCTTTCTGTTTCTGGGCTGCGTTAGTCTCTTTCCTTCCTTTCACTTCTCCTTGTGGTCTTCATTGCCAGAAACCCCTCCGCAGTTGTTCGGAAGGGGAGTGTGTTAACATTACCATGTTAACCTGAGATGGCCATTCATCAGATATTTATTGAATTGCTACTTGGTGTCCATGAAATACCATTCTCTGTATTTCCAGGCAGGAAGGATGTAGAGGCCTCCAGAACCTTCATTTCTGTATGGGCAGAGCTCAAAAGCAGATGGAATGACAGTTAACAACTGTTGTGACCCCTTGGGCAGCTTCTGTGTCAGCAACATTATGAACGGATTTTCTTTTTCTTTTTTTTTTCCCCTTAGTATGTATGTATGTATGTATGTATGTATGTATGCATTTATTTATTTGTGGTACATGCCCCTAGCAGGAACTGAACCGGGGACTCTCTGGTCCACAGGCTGACGCTAAACTGCTGAGCCAAACTGGCTAGGACCATTTATTTATTTATTTTTAGATAGGAAGGGAAAGGGGAGACAGATAGAAACATTGATGAGAGAGAAACATTGATCAGCTGCCTCCTGCATGCTCGAAACCCGGGCATGTGCCCCGACTGGGAATTAAACCGGCAACCTCTTGGTGCATGGGACTATGCTCAATCCACTGAGCCACACCTGACGGGCTAAACTGATTTTCTTTAGAGGAGGAAAGATGTTAGATGCCAGAAAACCCTCCCCTCCCTCTCACTTGACTCCTAGGGAAGTGGTTCCATGTGTATCTAAGCGGGAAGTCTGCCAGCTCACAGGGTGGTTCAGTGTCTTGTCTTACAGTGGGCTCTCTCTCCTTCATGTAGGAGGTCGGTGCACACAGGCAAAGCCACGCACAGAGCCCAGACTAGACAAACGAGACAGACCAAGCCTAAGCACATCTGAGGTGGACCTCTTCACCACCATGGCCCTTGTTGGCATTGTTGAGCTTTGAGTTGGAATACATAATCCGAGCACTTTCAGATAAGGTGAAGTAGGGGCAGCCCACTTTTTTTTTTTTTTTAATTCTTGTTTATGAATATATTTGAAATTCAGGTTACAATAATTTAAATGGAATACTTGAAAAAGAACACCTCTGTATCCCTCAGGTTAATTTCTGAGATGACTTCTTTTTTGGTCAAGTGCCACTTAGTGTTGACACGTTTTGCTTTATATTTTAAACCTTTTCTGGAGCTCTGTATGGCATGTACGCATTTTATGTACTCAGTTCCCTTGATGTTGTGTGGGGTTTGAAATGTTTAACTTCCAGTTGCTGCAAACGTGAAATGTTAACTGGAAGATGTTTAAGTGCCTCTCCCTTTCTCTTCTTCACGTTCCCTTGTCCCGCAGTCAAGAAAATAATGCTGCTGCTGCTGCTGCTGCTGCTGGACATCGCTGTGTGTGGCTTGAGGACATTCAGGATCTGACAGGAGAAACCTTCAGAACAGATAAGAAGCCAGACCCTGCCAACTGGGAGTATAAGTCCCTCTACCGAGGAGATATAGCCAGGTACCCACCATTTCTCTCCCTGATTTTCCCTGATGGGCAGGAACTTCTCTCCTGAATTCTCCACTGCTGTCTCTGTCTGCCTGCCACCCCCCATGCCCTTGTAGATTCTTTGGGTTTTTAATCATTGCTAAGTTGTTCATGCATATTCTAAAATGAACATTTAAACCTTGAGATCAAGATCCAGGTTGGATTCATCTTATTTCTCCATGGCACTTGGAGCCGTGCCTGGCACAATAGGTGGTGTTGAGTCAATATTTGTTGAAGGAATGAATCTAAAAATACCTTGAAATAACTGTGACAAATGGCCTGGAAACGGTTTGATCTAATCTATGTGCCATTTAAAAAGTTGTGAAAGCCTTTTATTTATCCACACTTCCATCCCCCAACGTATGACATTAAATGGTAATGACTTTTTCAAAATGTTTTCAGCGTACATTACCAGATAATCATAAAAATAGGTGATGGTATCTGCTTTAGTAATGAGTTTAAACTTTTCTCCCCTGAGCTTTCAATCAAAAATATTTGGCTCTGGCCGGTTTAGCTCAGCGGTTAGAGCGTCCTCCTGCAGTCCGAAGAGACCCGGGTTCGGTTCCCGCTAAGGGCACGTACCTTGGTTGCAGTTTGTTCCCGGCCCTGGTTGGTCGTGTGGGTGGCAGCCACTCGATGTGTCCCTTTCACATCGATGTTTCCCTCTCTCTCTCTTCCTCTCTCTCCCTCCCACTCTGTCTGTACAAAAAATGGAAAAGTGTCCTCGGATGAGGATTAAAAAAAAAAAAAATTTGAATACTTGCCCAGCCAGTTTGGCTCAGCGGTAGAGCATCGGCCTGTGGACCAGTAAGTCACGGGTTTGACTCTGGCTGAGGGCATGTACGTCGGTTGTGGTTCGTCCCCGGCCCTGGTCAGGGTTGTGCTGGAGGCAGCCAGTTGATGTGTCCTTCTCTTGTCGATGTTTCACTCGCTCTCCCTTTCTCTCCCTCTCTCTCCCTCCTACTCTATCTGAAGATAAATAGAAAAATATCCTTGGGTGAGGATAAAAAAAATATGTATACATATTTGAATACTTATTAAGCTCTTGTGAGATACTGTTGGAAACAGAACAACAGTACACGGTTTCTGTTCCCAGACAGCTCACAGGCCATCAAAGGGAAGGTAGAGAATCATGGGATATAAGGGTAGGAGGAGACCTTGGAGATTGATACCATTCTTTATAGGCTAATTGCCTTTATTTATTTATTTTTTAATCCTCACCTGAGGATATTTTTCCATTTTTTTTGTTCAGATAGAGTGGGAGGGAGAGAGAGGAAGAGAGAGAGAAACATCGATGTGAAAGGGACACATCGAGTGGCTGCCACCTGCACAACCCAACCAGGACCGGGGACAAACTGCAACTGAGGTACATTCCCTTAGCGGGAACTGAACCCGGGTCTCTCTGGACCACAGGCCAACGCTCTAACCGCTGAGCCAAACCGGCCAGGGTCCCTATTATTTATTTATTTTTTTTAATCCTCACCAGAGGATATTTTTCTATTTATCCTCAGATAGAGTTTAAGGGAGAGAGAGAGAAAAACATCGACATGAGAGGGACACACCGACAGGTTGCCTCCCACACCACCCTGACCAGGTACATGCCTTTGGCCAGAATCGAACCCACAACTCACTGGTCCATGGGCCGACATTAACTGCTAAGCCAGACTAGCCAGGGCTAGGCTAATTACCTTTTCAGTCCCCATTACTTTGCTGCACCTCCAAATTTTGATCATGTTTTCACTCATGACATTATACCTCCCACATAAGCAATTCCAACTATAAATTTCTTTATGATGAGTGTATATTATTTTCCAGTGCATGTTTTTGTCTACGTGTTAGCTATGAAAACCTCCAGGCTGAGAGCAAGTGATTATCATACTTAAAATGTATTCATATATTTTTTAATTATTTTTAATATCCCTGAAATCTTGTTTGGTTTCCATGCCACCACAGTGTGGCACACGGGTGTGGTAGAAACCCGGTAAAGGTGGGGGGTCAGCAAACTGGTTGGGCATGAAGTTGTGCCGCGGCCCGTGCTCTCACCTAGCTCGCCTGTCTGCTGCTCACCGCGCTCCGGGGGGAGGGGAGCTCTCTCATCTTGCGAGTGAGGGAAAGGAGCCTCAGGGAGGTGCAGTGGTTTCTCAAGGTCATGAAACCAGTGGGCAGGAGAGTTGGACATTTTCTAGATTGGGAAACAGGACTGGTTCTCATTCTGACTTTGCCATTTACTAGTAATGTAATTCCAGGCAAGTCACTTAGTTGTCTGAGCCTCTGTTTCTTCATATATAAATTGGGAATCTTGACTCTGGCCGTGCCTTTACACTTGAATATTACAAATATTTGATACGGAATTAGAAATTGTATGCAAATATAAAGGGTTATTATTTAGAAATAGATGAAGAAAGGAAAAAGCATTAACACTGAGTGGCTCTTTTTTTTTTTTTTTATCCTCACCCGAGGATACTTTTCCATTTTTTGTACAGATAGAGTGGGAGAGAGAGAGAGGAAGGGAGAGAGAGAAACATCGATGTGAAGGGACACATCAAGTGGTTGCCACCCGCACGACCAACCAGGGCCGGGGACAAACTGCAACCGAAGTACGTGCCCTTAGCGGGAACCGAACCCGGGTCTCTCCGGACTGCAGGCCAACGCTCTAACCGCTGAGCCAAACTGGCCAGGGCTAACACTGAGTGGCTCTTAAGCCTCTGCTAGTGAATGGCCCAGACCTTCAAAAGAGAATAATTAGTAACAACTTCATTAATCTGAACTGCAAAGATACTGCTGTCAAGGCTTAGGACATTGTTGTGAGTTTCTAGAAAGCTTTGGTGAGGTAAGTCTTGCCTGGATTCATAGATGTACAACTGTTAGTGTCCAGACCTAGGAAGGTATTGATCCCATGGCACTCTGCGCTGGCAGAGGACAGTGGGAATATTGGGTTAGGAGCTGAGTTTTCACACCTGAAGAGGGACACGGACAGACCGAGAGCATTGAGAGGAGGTGAGCAGACGACTTGGCCAGCACTGACACGTGAGGGCCTGCTGAGGGCTCGTGGCTGTTTGGCCCACAGCAGGGACATGGCCGTTGTCTTCGGCGCTTTGCTGGGTAGGCAGCGTCTGCACAGCCAGGACGAACGAGCGGGAGTGCTGGGGAGCACGGGTAGGCAGAGAGCGTCTCGTGCCTGTCGCCTGGGGCAGCAGAGGAGGTGCTGGGGCTCAACCACGGGGTGGAGGCCGAGCTGCTGGGAGCTGACGAGGTGGTGGCAGTGGGTCTGTCCTGTCCTTGTCTTCCCACGGCGGTTTATGTTGAAAGTTAGAAACACACAGTATGAGTTGAAAAAATTTGACAGTGAATACTCACACATCCACGCCCTGTAGTCTACCACTGTGCTGCACTTACCTTGTCATATTTCTCTCCATTCACCCACCAGCCCATCTTGTTTTTTGATGTATTGCAAAGTAAACCGCCAATATCAATATACTACCCCCTAATACTTCAGCATGGATATCATTAACTACAGTCCCGGATTGGTTTATTTTTATCTTTTGATGTAAAACTTACATATATTGTAATATACAGATCTTCATTTGCTGAGTTTGGACAGAGGCATATACCTGAATAACCCAGACCTCTGTGAAAATATAGAACATCACTGTGACCCCAAAAAGTTTCCTCATGCTCCTTTCCAGTCAGTCCACACCCCACCTCCCCAGAGGCCATTCCCGTTCTAATTTTCTTCCGCCATCAATTAGTTTGGTCTATTCTAGAATTTCATTTAAATGGAATCATATAGTGTATACTCTTTGGTGTCTGGCTTTTTTCACTCAGCGAGATGTTTTTGAGCTTCATCCTTGTTGTGACATTTACCACCGTTTGTTTCTTCATTCTTTGGTTGGCGGACACCTGGACTCCCTCCAAGGTTTGGCTGTTATGAATAAAGCTGCTGAGAACATTTGTGCACAAGCCTTTGTGTAGACATGTGGTTTCCTTTTTCTTTGGTAAATACCTAGGAATAGAATTGCTGGGTCATAGGGTAGGTCTATACTTAGTTTTTAAAGAAACTGCGATATTTTCCCTAAGTGCCTGTACCAGTTTATGTTCCTATCACCAGCATTTGGGAGTCCTGGTTACTCCACAGATTACTCACCAACGTTTGGTATCGTCAGTCTCTCATTTTGGCTGTTTTGATGGGTATGTGGTGAATCTCTCTGTGGTTATAATTTGCATTTCCTTGATGACTAATATGTCGAACACTCTTTCATGTGCTTATTGGTAACTCATGTCTTTTGTGAGTTCTTTTCAGATTTTTTGCTCATTTTTAAATTGGGTTGTTTATATAACATACGTACAGAAAAGTGCACAATTTTCCTGAGCTTTTGTGCAGATATTCAGTAGTCATGTGTTTGTAACTCTGGGGACGCCTACACGTTCCATAAAAGCATTTCAGAACCCAGCCTTTTTTTCTTCCAGAGTAGAAAATAGTCAGATGTAATTTTATTTGACATACTTTTTTTCAGGATGAAAAAAGAATCTTAGACCTATATGTTATCTTTTTAAGTCGGGACACAGGACAGTCCTGAGGAAAGGGACTGCTAGGAGACAGGACCCAGCGTCCCCTAAGGCCTCGGTGTCCTTATGCAGGGATCCTGTGAAAGAAGGCGTGATGATTTCCGCCTTGCCTGCACCTGTGACTGTGACAGTCAGAAGACAAAGTGTAGGTGACAGTACTTCAACTACAAAGCTCCAGGAAGGTGTGAATTACCAACATCTAGAAGACAGGCATGATCTCAAATTCATGAGACGTTGACAAAGACTTGACTTGTTAGAGGAGTAAGTCAAACGGACAGAAAAAGCTAATTGCTAACCCTCATATTTCTCCAAATAGAAACAGTTTGAAGGTAAGGTGAACTCGAATATATGCATTTAACTTGCATAACACGAGTTTCAGTCTGATGAGTCTTCACTCATTCAGAGCTAGCATACATAGTCCCTCAGTAACTTTTTCTCTTTTTCAAATACAAGATACAAGCGGAAAGGAGACTCCTGCCTTGGCATTAACCCTAAGAAGCAGTGCATATCCTGGGAGGGGGCTTCCGCACCAAAGAAGCATTCGCACAAGCACGTCGAGCGCTACTTTACGAAGAAGAACGTGGTGTTGATGAACGCTGATGGGGTTGCCGTTAGCGGTAAAACAGAAACTCTCTCATCCGAGCCAGTCTCGTTTATCCCGGTGAAGGGCTTGGACGAGGTCGTTCCTCCTGTGACAACCTGGCTGAACCCTCTGGGGATTTATGACCAATCCACCACGCAGTGGTTACAAGGACAGGGTCCTTCAGAGCAGGAGTCAAAGCAGCCAGACTCCCAAGCAGAACGAGAGAACACGCTTCTCAAGGCCAAGGTGGAGGAGTTTAACAGGAGGGTGCGCGAGAATCCTCGGGATATTCAGCTGTGGATGGCGTTCGTTGCTTTTCAGGTAAGGACCAGGTCCCGCTTCTCGTACCTCACTTAGCATGACAGTCCTCGTTTTGGGCAAAGCCATGTACTGTGCAGCACTTTTGAGCTCCTATGAGGAACGCGGGCTCTGGGCCTGTAGAGATAACTAGACTAGCCCTTGCCCTGGGCTTGCTCAGAGCGCGGAGAGGAAGACCGCCGTGCGGAGAATGCACGCAGTGTGGGGGGATGAATGCTTCAGTGTGTGGTTTGGGATGGAGTGAGGGAGCGACCTGCCCTAGCGAGCAAGAGAGGGCTCTCAGGAGAAGGTGAGGTTTGAGCAGAATCTTGAAAGGAGTAGATATTCACCAGCAGGGGAGGCATTGGGGGTGGACAGATGGACCACGAGCCCAGAGCTGTAGAGAAGGGCCACTGGCTGAATTACCCAGTTAGAGCTGTGTGCTCCCTTTCTCAAGTATGTGGGTTGTCTTAGTTCCACTTTTTTTTTTTTAACCACTTACACAGTTATATTTTATCCCACATTTGTTTTAAATTTTTTTTGCCTTTATTGATTTTTTTTTAGAGAGGAAGTGAGAAGGAGAGAGAGAGAGAAACATCGATGCGAGAGAACATTGATTGGCTGCCTCCTGCATGCTCCCCACTGGGGATCTGGCTCACAACCCGGGGATCTGGCACACAACCTGGGCATGTGTCCTGACCAGGAACCAACCCGTGACCTCTTGGTGCATGGGTCGACGCTCAAACCACTGAGCCACACTGGCCGGACGATTTTGTCCCACATTTGTTTTAATGGTGAAGTTGACTCCAGAAAAGGTTTTCAAGGCATTGCATGCTTGTCATTGATACATAAATCTAAGCTGTAAATGACAGAATAGACGGGTAAATCGGGTGAAGTAAACACAGGATCAGACACACCAGGTGACACAGGCCCCCAAGGAACTGAGTTTCCAGTGAAAGAAATTATGATAAACAAGTGGTTATCGAGAAAGTCTGAACAGCAGTTCATTTTGGGAGGCGAGAAACCCTGTGGGGCATGTAAGGAACCGGATGGGCAGTGCTGGTGTCCGGAGGGTCGCGCAGTGCCCTTCACACTTGTAAATGGTGTTTTTGTCGTTGAGGACGAGGTCATGAGAAGTCCTGGCCTGTACGCCGTCGGGGAAGGAGAGCAGGAGAAGTGGAAGCGGTCCTTGAAGCTCGTTCTGGAGAAGAAGCTGGCCATTCTGGAGCGGGCCATCGAGAGCAACCAGAGCAGTGTGGACCTGAAGCTCGCCAGGCTGAGGCTGTGCACGGAGTTCTGGGAGCCCTCCACGCTGGTCAGAGAGTGGCAGAAGCTGATGTTCTTACATCCCAACAATGCAGGCCTTTGGCAGAAATACCTTTTGTTTTGCCAGAGCCAGTTCAGCACCTTTTCAATATCAAAAATTCACAGTCTTTATGGGAAGTGCTTGAGTACTTTGTCTGCTGTGAAGGACGGCAGCATCTTGTCGCACCCTGAGCTGCCTGGCACCGAAGAGGCCATGTTTGGTAAGGAGATGATGACCAGGTCCATTTACGTGGGAGGAATTAAACTTTTGACTTGAGTTGAAAAGGAAGATTTATTTTGGTTTATTTTAGGAAAGTCGTAAGTTGATAAATCTGTTGATAAATTGATAAAATTGATTAATCAAAAAAAACTATCAGGACTCCTTTTGACCCCTCCAGCTTCTTGGTGGTGGTAGGGGCATTAGAGGCAGAGTCAGGAAAGCAGCACTGGCCTAGAAGTGCCAGCTTCTCCGCGTGTTAACCGGACAGGCGTAGTCACACTCTCACCACCTTGGCTGTCGATGGCTTATTTGTTGCAATGCCGGTGCTGCTCACCTCATCCAGTCCTAGGGTTTCAGGCAGCAGTGTTGGTGGGATGCCCCGACCAACTGGACATCATTGCATAGAAATACAGATTATTGGTAATGTATTGCTAACACTTTCGGTGGGTCCCGAAGGAGCCTGGAATATAAATGTGTCCTGTAGTGAGATATCAGAGGCAGCGTGTTATGCAGGAGCTAGAGACTGTTGCTCTTGACTCGAACCCGGGATTTGCCTTTTGCTGGTTCTGGTATGACCTTGGATAGGTTCCTTAACCTATTTCAGCTCCAGTCTCTCCCTCCACAGCAGTAGTGTAACACCCGCGTTACAGGGTCACTGTGCACATGACTGACACACTACACGGGGAGTCCAGCTCTGTCTGCACACGGCAGGTAGTTACCGGATCCAGACCCTGTTATTACAGTTAACTTCTAAAGATAATAAGCATTCACCACACTGGCAGAGAGAGCCTCATATTTGCTCTCCTTTGTGATATGCCCAAATAGCTTAATGTCATTTAGTGAGTGGAACTGGACCACAGTTGAGGCAAACTGAAATTTTCAAACATGGAACCTTGATTTGTTTACAGCAAACTTGAAGCATAGGATGAAAATTGCTAGTGAATAATGCCATCTAGTGACCACTAAATACAGATCTTGGCTTTCTGGTAAAAAATTGCTATGCCATCCTTGTCCTAGAAATTTTCTTGTAATAATGAGCTTTGGGTTTTTTGATAATCAGTGTTCAGACTAACCTCTTACCTTGCGTTTATGTATACGTAGTTCTTGTTGTTAATATTTGTATTCTGTGATGGTACTTTGATTGCAGTACTGTTCTGAGTCATTTAAATTAGGGCGTGTAGGTAGCACATCTTTGAAAATAGAGCAGTAGCTCATTTCAGGGAGAAGATGTTCTCGGGGTTTTACTGCAGCTTCTTAGCAATTACGTCCTTTTTCTCTGATGGTGTTAACCAGGGGTCCCCCCACTCTGCCTGCTTCCAGCCCTCTTTCTTCAGCAGTGCCACTTTCTGCGCCAGGCCGGTCACTCTGAGAAGGCCGTTTCCTTGTTCCAGGCCATGGTGGACTTCACCTTCTTCAAGCCTGACAGCGTGAAGGATCTGCACACCAAAGGACAGGTGTGAGCTCTGCTTTCCTGTTCTCTCCCTCCTCCTCCCCCTGCTCCTCCCTCCTTCCCTCCTTCTCTCCTTTGGGAGGCGGTGGTAGTATTTTGTTGTTAATTTTCACTCAAGGATAATTTTCCCATTGATCATAGAGAGTAGAAGGGAGAGAGGGAAATAGAGAGACAGAGAAACATTGATGTGAGAGAGACAGATGGATTGGTTTGCCTCCTGCATGCATCCCAACCTGGGCCAGGGATCGAATCTGCAATTCTGGCACACGCCCCCACTGGGAATCGAACCTGCAACCCTTTGGTGTGCTGCCTGATGATCTAACCACTGAACAACACCGGCCAGTGCAAGTACGAGTAATATTTTTAAAATACTGAGAATCACTTCTGTACCACAGAAGTTTTCCTTTATATCAGACCTGCTGAGGATTGTTGCTCAGAAAGATTCTAGCACTCCAAGGAAAATTCTATAATGAAAGTAGTGGAACATGGAGAGATGGAAGAAGACCACACCCCAACCCCCCAAATATAAAGACTTATGTCCCTTTTTTTCCTTACTTTTGGCCCTTGTTTAAATGCTAGCTGTGCCCACCAGTCAGGAAAACGTGTGCCTTTCGCCCTGTGTCACTCTGCCCACCTTGTGCATTCTCACAGGTGTCTGTCGCCTCCTGTTAACCTTTCCAGTCTCAGTTCTCCACTGGAGTCGCTAAGGAAAGGACCCCTGGTCACTTTGTCAACACTGATTCTAATCGTGGCTGGTTAGTCGTTCAGGTGACCAGTGAACATGGCCATTGTTCGTGATGTGAAGCAATAAGAAAACCTTACCATAGAGCTAGTATATAAGAAAGCCTTCTTTCCCCCTTTTCCACGGAAGAAACCTCAGCTTCCTGTTCTGCAGAGGGTCTGATGGAAGATGGATAGGGTATCTCAGTCATGGTGATCTTTCGAAGGTCGTTCTCAAGAGGCTTAGGTCTCCAATTTTTGTGAATTAACTTAAAAACTATTTTTATCATGTTTGTTTTTATGTATTTTTTTTCCCAGACAAAATTGGTTAAAGAATACTGGTGAATAAATATTGGTGTAACTGATGATTAGTCTAATAAGCCAGGTAACAGTTATTTTAAGACATATTTTGCTATATTAAGAATGTGCTGGCCCAGCTGGTGTGGCTCAGTGGTTGAGCGTTGACCCATGCACCAAGAGGTTGCCAGTTCAATTCCCGCTCAGGGCACATGCCCAGGTTGTGAGCCCGATCCCTAGTGGGGGCATGTAGGAGGCGGCCAGTTGATGTTCTCTCTCATCGATGTTTCTGTCTTTTTCTTCCTTCCCTTTCCTCTAAAAATCAATAAAGAAAAAAAAAAAGTGCTGTGGTGCAGAAGTGATTCTCAGCAAACTCTGAGAACGTGTGGAGTGTGTGGTTGGGATCAGGGTCAGGGTCGTGCACATGCCCACCCCTTTGCTGACACCCGCTGTCTGTGATGAGAGCAGTTACTCATTGGATGGGGGGAGGTGCACTGCCCGGACTTGGAGTGTGGACAACTTTTCCTCTGATATGTCAAGGGAGCCTGATCCAAGCTCTTGAGGTTTTAAATACTAACAGCACAGGTCATTGCAAAGTATTTACATGACAACTTTGAAATAAAGCTTTTATTTAATGACTCTCCATATCTTTATGAGTAAGAGACATTGTTATCGTAAATAGGCAGAGAGTCTGGTATTACTGGTCTGTGTTTTTGTGGAATATATAAATTGGTTATAACCATTTACCACACTTTAAAAAAGAAAACACCCTTCTTTTTGTTTGAGTGCACTTTCTTCCATCCCTCTTATCAGAGTAAAACCTGTAAAGAGGGAGTGTAGTCTTCCCCGTTCCCTTCCTGAGCTGGCTGACGTGCACTCGGCCTCCAGGGCCAGCGTCCGGGCATCCGTCCTGCCGTCCGTGGCTCTCCTGGACACTGTCCTCCTGGCATGCGAGACACTCCCTGGGGCTCAGGCTGGATAAGCTTGGGGCTCCTGGCCCACTGTGCCCATCGGAAGCCTGCTCATCCTCTTCAAAGGTTTCTTACAAAAGCTTTCATTGAGCAACTTATTGGCTCTCTGTTAAAGTCCTTATTGTTGGTTGATAACGTGATCGCTTCCCTGCTCGCTGTGTTCACATTCTGTTCCACGTGCAATTATTTATTGCCACTGAGCTGGTCACCACATAACCGCAGACCTGATGTCCAGGTGAATGAGGGAGGGGCCAGGCTTCAACATGCAGACCTTTTTATTCATTGGATGCCTACCATGTTTACTTCTGTGCCCACAAGCATTTACCGCGTCTCTGCTTGGTGCTGGGCACTGTGCCGGGTGTTAGGAACGGTTAGTGGAGATGTGGCCATGTCCTCAGGATGTCAGAAACCTTGAGTCTCCTTCCTCTCAAAATGTCTTGAAAGCAGTAGACCTCGGGCATTAGTTAGGGGTCTGGCAGTGCCACTGTTTCCCGTTAGACTGGCCGACCAGGGTCAGCACTGGGACACCATTCCGCTCCTGTGCTCCTCAGTGACCTTGGCCAGTCTTTGTAGCCCAATCTTGGAAGTGTCGTCCCATCACTTTCTGCCATATTCTAGGTCCAGCCCACACTCAAGGGTGTGAACCCCACGAGGCATGGGGAGAGCCATGGGGGCTGCCATGGAGGCTGCCTCCCACACAAGATGATTGTATTTTCTGTTTCGGGGCGAGTGTCATACATCTACTTCAGAGACTGTAACAGGCAGCACTTAGTTCGCCCAGTGACTCAGTTTTGGACAAGTTAGGCTAACCTCCATGTTTTCCATCTGAACAGGCCGAGTTCTTCGAGCCTTTCTGGGACAGTGGAGAGCCCCGGGTTGGGGAGAAGGGCGCCCGAGGCTGGAGAGCTTGGATGCACCAGCAGGAGCGGGGCGGCTGGGTGGTCGTCGGTCCAGGTAAGGCACCTCTCGGCCGAGGGTGAACTTTCCTTCTGGGACTCGTTTTTACGTCTTCACAACGATTTGTTTATATGTATAAGCCATTTATCGGTAGCTCAAGAACATTGTACAAACATCAAAATGTGAAAAGTCCATTGAGTAGGTGTCCTGGGAGAACAGACTGTTTCCCTCAGAGCCTGGAAGCAGTGGGCCTCACTGTGCGTAAGGCTTTGAGGGTGCGCGCTTCCCCCCGGAAGTGTTCGTTTGCCCTCTGTAGGCTGCTCCTGAGGAAGTCGCCTTGTCACTGACCCACCCCCATTCTAGTGTGTGTGAGGTAGTCTTTGTTTTCTTGGAGGTGTCCAGATCCTTTAAGACATACGTGCCTTTTTAGGAATACTATAAAATAATTATTATCTGTCATTCTAAATGACTTCATAGTACTTTCCAGATTTACCCTCTAAAACAGCACTGTCCATAGAAACATCCTTCAAGCACACGTGTAACTTCACATTTTCTAGCAGCCACATTAAAAAAGCAAAAAGAAAACAGGTGAAATTAATTTTGATAATGTGTTTTGTTTAACCTAGTATATCAACACATGAACATTTCAACATCTCATCAATATTAAGAAACTCATGAGGTATTTTGCATTTTTTTCCCATATAGACTCTGAAATCTGATTACATTTTCCATTTATAGCACATCTCAGTTCAGACCAGCCACTCTCAAGAGCTTGATAGACACATGCTAATGGCCACTGTATTGGCCAGCACAGCTCTTAGCTATTTGGGACTTGCTCCACTCAGCTGGTGTCATTGAACGTGTGAGGGAGGCCCTGGCCGGTTTGGCTCAGCGGTTAGAGTGTTGGCCCGCGGACCATTGAGACCCCGGTTCGGTTCCCGCCAAGGGCATGTACCTCGGTTGTAGTTTGTCCCCGGCCCCCAACCAGGGTCGTGTGGGTGACGACCAGTCGATGTGACATCGATGTTTCTCTCTTCCTCCCTCTCTCCCTCCCGCTCTATCTGAAATGCAAAAATGTCCTTGGTGAGGATAAAAAGAAATAAAGTTAAAAAAAAACAAAAAACAGTGTGAGGGAGAAGGGGCGGGTGCTCAGGACATCAGCTCCTCACCGGGCGGCCAGACTCTTCTCACAGGTGTCACTTCCTGGACCGTGGTTTCTTCACATGAGAAATGGGAGCTTTGAATTGGCTCTGACCTGCGTGGCAGTGCAGAGCTCCGGGCCAGGTGGTGGGTCTGTCCCCACTTAGGCTGGGCCCTCGGGGGTTTGGGGTGACCTTGCTCTGGGCAGCGCCATCCGGTGGTGGTCTTGGCTCCCTTGGGCCGTCCAGGTGTCAGCCGCTTCGACTCCCTTCTGAGTGTTCTTTCCCACAAAGACCTGGAACTGTCGTTGGGGCTGACCCGGGGTGTCATACGTGAGACAGAACCGCAGGCGGAGTAGAAGTACGCGTCGCACTTCAGCCCCGAGTCTGCGGGACCACACGAAGGACCAAAACACAGACAAGGCTTTTTGGTAGTAGCTCTTCTTTCTCCGAGTGACCCACTCAGCCCGGCTCTGTGTGTTTGGGTGGTTTTTTGTTTTTGTTAATGAGTGAGTCTCTTGCAGTGCGTGGTGTTTCTGTTCTGGCTTCCCGAATTTGGCATTTCTGTGAGGAGGTTGAGTTCTCGTGGCAATGCCCAGAGACTGAGTTAACATTACTTCCAAGTAAGTGTCCAAATGACCAGAGGTCACTCATAATCAGATGTGAAGTTAGTTTTCTCAGTAAGATAACGCAAGCATCAAAACCTTGAATTTTTTTTTTTTAATTCTTACCTGGGGATATTTTTCCATTTATCTTCAGATAGCGCGGGAGGGGGAGAGAGAAACATCAACATGAGAGAGACACATCAATTGGTTGCCTCCCACACGACCCCAACCAGGGCCAGGGATGAACTGCAACCGAGGTACGTGCCCTTGACCGGAATTGAACCCGTGCCTCTTTGTTCTGAGGGCTGATGCTCTCACTGCTGAGCCAAACTGGCCAGGGCAAAAACTTGACTTTTAATATCAGGTTAGGGATGTGTGTTGGTGCATATGTACCCCACAAGCTTTTTGGTTTTTTTTTTTTGTTTTTTTTTTCTTTTTGGTTAATCTTCACCTGAGGATATTTTTCCGTTGATTTTTAGAGAGAATGGGAGGGAGGAAGGAAGGGAGGGAGGGAAGGAGGGAGAGAGGGTGAGAGAAACATCAATTGGTTGCATCTCACACATGCCCTGACCAGGGGTGGGGATTGAACCTGCAACCCAGGTATGTGCCCTTGTCTGGGAATTGAACCTGAGACCCTTTGGTGTGTGCCACTGCTACTGCAGGTACAGAGCTGTTCTCTGTACCCGGGTCTCTCTGGACCGCAGGCCGACGCTCCAACCGCTGAGCCAAACCGGCCAGGGCTCATGTAACTTTTGTAAAGTAATTTTTTATTGTAAAATTTACACAAAATTTGTCATTTTAGCCATTTTTAAGTGTACAGGTAAGTGACATTAACTACATTCCCATGGTAGTGGCACCGCCATCACGTCTGTTCATCTCCTCTACTCTTTGTCTGCTCCTTCCTCTCCCCACCCAGCCCCTGACAGCCACCGCCCTGCTTGGCTCTGCGAATTTGACTAGTTGAGGAACCACCTCATATAAGTGGAGTCCTATATTTGTTGTTTTCAGACAGGCTAATTTCACTTAGCATGATGTCCTCAAGGTTCATCGAATGTGTGGCATTTGTCAATATTTCCTTCCTTTTTAAGACTGAATAACATTACACTGTATGTAGCTATCACATTGTGTTTATTCATTCACCTATTGTGGACACTTGCTTCACCTATTGGCAATTGTGAAAAATGCTGTGAACATGAGTGTACAAATATCTGTTTGAGACCCTGCTTTCCACTCTTTGGGGTGCATACCCACGAGTGGAATTGCGAGGTCTCGTGGGTTCTGTTTCATTCTTGGAGGAACTGCTGCATTGTTTTCAACAGATGCTGCGCCAGTTGACATGCCACCACCAGCCACAGGTCCCAGTTTTGCCACATCCTTGCCCACACTTGTTTTCTGGGTGACTTGTTAAGATTGGCTTCTTTTCACTTAACATAATTCCCCCGAGATTCATGCGAATTGCTGTGTGTGTTAATTGTTTGTTCATATTTATTGCTTAGTAGTATTCCACGGCATAGCTGTGCCACAGTCTTGTCGTTTCCAGTTTTCTGCTGTTGTGAATAAAGCCGCTGTGGGTGTTGGTGGGCAGGTTTCCCTGTGAACATAAGGTTTTTCCATTTTCCATTTTTCTGGCATCAGCACCCGAGAGTGCAGTTGTGGGTCTTAGTAAGTGCGTGTGGAGTTGGATGAGAGGCTGCCAGACCTTTCCGAGTGGCTGTACCATTTTACATCCTGTTTGTTTCTTTTAAAACGTGGAACTCAACTGATGACTCGGACTTTTCTCCTTTTTCATTCTGCTTGTTCAGAGTTAGGAAACAGAGTGAAATCAAGTACATTGCTAGAAGATAAAGGCTATCACTAAAGGATATCTTGACTTGCCTTTTTTTAAAAAAAAAAAAAAGAAGTGAACATATGGCCCTGGCCAGTTTGGCTCAGCAGTTGGAGCGTCAGCCTGTGGACCAGAGTCCCGGGTTTGGTTCCCGCTAAGGGCACGTACCTCGGTTGCAGTTTGTCCCCGGCCCCGGTTGGGGTTGTGTGGGTGGCAACTGCCCAAGGTGTCTCTTCCATGTCAATGTTTCTCTTTCTCTCTTCCTCCCACTCTATCTGAAGATAAATGCAAAAATGTCCTCGGGTGAGGATAAAAACAAACAAGTGAACATAAGTCATAATCATAAAGCCACTGGCTGAAAATTCTGATGGCTTCTGGAAATCGAAACCAACGTTGTCATTAAATGTCATTCCTCATTCTAGAACAGTGTTGTCCAATAGTAGCCACTACCTACATGTGGCTATTTTAATTAAAATTAATTAAAACAAAATTAAATTAAAAACTCATTTCTTCTACCAGCTGCATTTCAGGTGCCCAGTAAGTCCCGTGTGGCTCTTGGCCACCCTGTCAGCACAGATACAGAACATTCGTCACAAAGTTCTGTTGGTCAGTGCTGGTCTAGAAGATGTGTCATGCCCATCTTAATCGGTGTGATAACTTTAAAAATAATTTGACTTCATCAGCTAACCTACTGTTGTTTCCTGGGAACTTGATTGTAATTATAGGAGAGTCCCTAAATGTCACTGAGAGTTCCAGAAGGCTGAGCTTACTCATCTTGGCATTCCAGGTGCCTGCCACCTGGCACCTGTAGCTGGCATACAGGTTGATTGGGTGCTGATGGTGGTTTTATTTGCTAGTTAGGTGATCTAGAAGTTCTGTTCTTGTGTAGATGATGATGATGATGAGCCAGAAGACGATGACCAGGAGATCAGAGATAAGACTCTGCCCCGGTGGCAGATCTGGCTTGCCGCGGAGCGGTCCCGAGACCAGAGGCACTGGCGGCCCTGGCGCCCTGACAAGACCAAGAAGCAAACCGAAGAAGACTGTGAGGATCCAGAGAGACAGGCAAGTCCCCCACCCCAGGAGGGACACCAGCTGTGGGGTCTTTGCCTTCCCCCATTCTCACTGGGTTTGGGTGCCCAGAAGAAGGTTGTTGGGCTCTCGAGCACTTGCCTGGCTCAGGAGGTGCTCGCCTGGCTCCTGTTCTGTCTGTGGGAACTTTCCTCTTTCTGAAAATCAGGGCAGAATTTCACTGGCTGCTGGTGATGTGGAGCATAGAGGCACTTGACCAGATAGGGCCTGCCCCTGAGTAGGAGGGTGTGCGCTCATGGTCACCCCTCTGGCGATCGTCTTCCAGGTTCGGTTCCTTTTTCGCATGGAAGCTGCAGGGCTCAGGGTTTAAAAACACAGGCTCACCATCCTAGGTTTCCCAGCTGTGTTCACTTTCCCCACCCTACTTCTATCTTCAGAAATGTAGCAGATAGGTTTGACCCCAGAAGAAAGGGGACTGGATGTAGAGGCCGTTTAGGGCCCAGCGGCATACAGCTTGTGTTGCTGGAGAAGCAGCTAGCATTTACCACCTACTGCGCGCCAGGCAGTTAATTGACGTTAGTATCTCATTTACTGTTACTGCGTGACTTGGTGCGTGCTGTTCTGTCTAGTGGCCAGCAGCTCTGGACATTTTCTTTTAAAATAAAGGAAAATACTCTTTTTGATACCTGGAATTGACCCAGTTTCACAAGATAACATTATATCGCTCTGCATGCAACATGGTATAGGTATAGACTGAGGTTCTCACAGTTGCAAGGCTTGTCAGCTTGGGCAGGCTTTGTTGTCTGTGGCTCTGTACCTGTTACATGCCTTGAGGGTGGAGTTGTTTGCCTGTTCAGCACCAGTGCCTGGCCAGGGTGACTGTGGTGAGGTGAGTTTGCATGTGAGCTCCCTCTCCTGGCTGAAGCTTGGCAGTTTCCTGCAGGCTCATTTCTGGAGCTGACTACTGTGAGCAGTTTCTTGTCGCTTAGCTTTTTTCTCTACTCAAAGCCTGGAGAAGATTTCTGACTAATTTATGGTTTTGATTAGTCGACTCCAGGCAGTCCCTGTTGCGCAGAGCCACAAAGACCAATCAGGTTCGCAGGACCTTGAGACAAAGGGTAGTCTCCGTGGCCTTGCCTTTACCTGAAGTCAGCTACAAACACTCACAGTTAGGATTAGGCTCTTATAATTGCTCTTATCATAGTCCATTGCTCCTGTAGCTTTCTTCCCACCTTGCTGCTGTTTACCTATTTCTGAGCATATTTTTCATTTCCTGAAGCAGTTTTGTGCAGAAAAACCCACAAAATAATAGTTTTTTCTTTTATGTTAAAAAAAAAAGTACACTTGGAACTACAAAGCAGTTGTGTATGCTTTCAGAAGTGAATATGGCTCTAGATTTTCTTTGACTCTAACAGGGTACTTGGAAGATCTTTGGCTTCAGCCTGCTCACGGATCTCCCTCCTTCCGAGAGTCCCCAGGAGGGTGGGAATCCCAGCAGCATCGCAGGGCTCCCAGCACTTACGCTGCAGCTCTCTGGGTTGCCTTGGGAGGCCTCTAGCTTTTTTGCATCTTGCAGAAACCTAGCTCCTGTCTGTTTAAAATTGTATGATGCTGAATCATTACACATGCATATGAAGAGAGATGTGGGAAAATTGTGAAGGCTTTTTTATTTGTTTATTGCAGTAAATAAATAAACCAAGCTCCAGAACAGGTCACTTCATTTTCTCTTTATTGCAGGTGTTGTTTGATGATATTGGACAATCTCTAATCCGACTCTCCAGACCAGATCTTCAGTTCCAGCTGGTTGCGGCCTTTCTGCAGTTCTTGGGTGTGCCTTCTCGCTTCAGCCCTCCAGCCTCCTGCCTCTATCTGGCTATGGATGAGAACAGCATCTTTGATAACGGACTTTATGACGAATACCCATTGACTTTTCTTAACCTTTCGTTTTCCGGGGTCAGCTGTGTCGGTCGCACGGACCAGTTGGGCTGCCGGCACTGGACCAGGGGTCACAGCCGAGAGGGCGAGGAGTTCATCCGAAACATCTTCCACCTGGTGATGCCTTTGTTTTCAGGCAGGGAGAGGTCTCAGCTCTGCTCCTCCTGGTTACGGTATGAGATCGCAAAGGTAACTCCGGCCCCTCCTCCCCTGTGTGGGGCCTTTTTTTGTGTCTGTGTTTATAAAGGGACTAGCAGGCTCTTAATGTTCTCCAGCTGGGCCACAGCACCTCCTTCGGGGACCCCAAAGGCATCTAGTGTGTGGCTGCCCCCTCTGAGGGGCCACAGTGAAGAGAAAGCAGGAGTGATTTGGGGCTGTTTCTGTTGAGTCTTATATTACCAAGTGCCTGTGATTATGTGAGCTGTTAGTGCTAAGAACTAAGTTTAAGCTTAAAGAGGGTTAGAGGATTTAGGGACTTACTAAATAGATCAAATAAGCTACTTACCCTGCTCTTTTTTATCTGTTATCTGCTGGAAAATTCATCTAGGATGGACTCTTCTGCCCTCTGCTGGTCACAAGTTAGTATAGACTCTTTTTTTCTTTCTTTTTTTTCAATCCTCACCCTTGAATATTTTCTCAAATATCTACAAATAGAGTGGGAGTGGGAGAGAGAGAGAGAGAGAGAAACATCGATGTGAGAGGGACACATTGATTGGTTGCCTCCTGCACAACCCCAACCAGGGCCGGGGACAAACTACAACCAAGGTACATGCCCTTGGCTGGAATCGAACATGTGACTCCTTGGACTGCAGGCCGATGCTCTAACTGCTGAACCAAACCAGCCAGGGCAGTTATTATAGACTCTTAACACCCAAATTTCTGACGCTTTAGGGATTGCACACACCAGGTTATATTATTAAAATAATGTCTGATAAAATTGGATGGCCGCCTCTCTTTGGAGAATATTTGGAGTATGTAAGCCTTGTTTTGGGAGGTTTCAGATGGAAACCTGGATGTGTTTTGGGGAGATTCTTGTGGCGGATTCTTTGGAGGTCTTATGTACATATTCAGAACAAGTCCCACAGTGCCAGTAAGACCAGCAGAAAATCCTGTTTTGTTTCCTGGCCCAGAGAGCTTAAGTGTTTACCAGGCAAGTGATGAAGGCAGGCAGTAGACGCCTGTGTGGCTTTCTCAAGCTGACAGTACAGCGGGGTTGCTGTAAAATCACAGAGCACTTGGAGTCATTCTTTCCTTTTTGCCTCCAGGTTATTTGGTATCTGCTCACTAAAAACAAGAAGAGGTTAAAGTCAAGAGGTAAGAACTGCAAAAAACTAGCCAAGAATCTCCTTAAGGAGCCAGAAAACCGGAACAACTTTTGCCTCTGGAAGCAGTATGCACATCTGGAGTGGTTGCTGGGCAACACAGAGGACGCCAGAAAAGTTTTTGATACAGCACTGAGCATGGCAGGCAGTGGAGAGCTGAAGGACCCGGAGGTCTGTGAGCTCAGTCTGCTGTATGCGGAGCTGGAGCTGGAGCTGGCACCAGACCTGAGAGGGGCCACTGCGGCCCCAGCTGTTCACATATTAACCAGCCTGGCTGAGAACAGTCCCTATGGGCCCTACACCGGGCAGGTCCTGGCCATTCGCATTTTGAAAGCTCGGAAGGCTTATGAACACACACTGCAAGACTGTTTGGGTGAGAGCCATGTCTCCGATCCAGCTGCCACCGCCGATTCCCTCAGCCACCTAGTTAGTGTGGTTAAATGCTTTATGCTCTTCCAGTACTTGACTCTGGGGATTGATGCCGCAGTGCGGATATACGAGCAGGTGTTTGCAAAACTAAAGAGCACTGTTTCCCCAGAAGGTCCGGCCCTGGAGGACAGTGCCAGCCCCCCGAGTGTGAGCAGCGTTCTCGAGGCTGTCACACTGATGCACACGAGCCTGCTCAGATTCCACATGAAAGTCAGTGTTTACCCTCTGGCTCCGCTGCGACAGGCGCTCTCAGAGGCTCTCCAGCTATATCCGGGCAACCAGGTCCTTTGGAGGTCTTATGTACAGATTCAGAACAAGTCCCACAGTGCCAGTAAGACCAGGAGATTTTTTAATGCAGTTGCCAGGTCTGCGAAACCCTTGGAGCCTTGGTTGTTTGCTATTGAAGCTGAGAAAATGAGGAAAAGACTGGTGGAAACTGTTCAGAGGTAATTACAAATCATCTTATTCTTGTGTCCACAACCTTGACATGTGCTGTGCTCCCACACCCTGTAGGCCTCAAGAGTACAGAAGTGAATGCAGTCCAGTGTGGGTGTCTAGGTGTTGTAGAGGAGCATGTCAGACAGAGACAGACCTGCAAGTAGCAACATCTTGCATTAGAGGCTTTGTGGCTGTCTTCCTAGGTCATGCTATTTGGGATCCTGTACATGGCTTATGGTACGTGGGTGGTGAGTGTCAGGCCGTCAAGTGTCCGAGAAGCTGTAGTAAAAGTATAATGGGTATGAGCACAAGCTCTGGAGTTGGACTCTGGGTTCACATCTCTGCTCTTCAATTTATCAGCTATAACCTTAGACACGTCACTTCACCTCTCTAATAGGTTCCCGAGAAGCAAGGACTTGGTGTGTGACTTCCAGGCAGACTCACCATGATGTAGAAACCACAGACCCCTGGACACTGCCTTCCTCTGGCCTTGGAGGAACCGCATCATATCTGTTCTCCACACCCCCAGCTCCCACCTCTGAGGGACAGCCCCTCCTGGGACAAGCTCTGATCAGTTGTTGCTGATGTTCATTGTCCCTGACACATCTCTGCCTCCTGCAGTGTCGGTGTGAGGACTGGTCCTGGAGTTTCATGAATGAGCCTTTGTCTTGCAGGGTAGATGGCAGAGAGGTCTACGCCACAATTCCCGAGACTGGCTTGACGCACCGGATCAGAGCCCTGTTTGAAAATGCAATCCGCAGTGACCACGGCAGCCAGTGCCCCTTACTGTGGAGGATGTATTTGAATTTTTTGGTAAGAAAATACTTTGAGTTTTTGTGTTCCTGCAGAACTCTACTTCTTCCTTCATGAGTGAGAAAGTGTGTCCAGCAGCCGCTGCACGGGAAGGCTGGGAGGCGCTCCCCTTTCCTTCCCCTCCCTGGACGGGGTCATGGAGGTCCCTGGGGACTTGGGAAGGGGTTGCAAGTTGCAGTTTTACTCAGGGTATTTGGTAGAATGACAGGGAGTAGTTACTGGGTGTTCTGGTGCTGCGGAACTTACGTGGGTTCTGAGTGGACGTTGTTGAGTCAACAACTTGGAAATGGTCCAAGAGCTCTCATTTGAAAGAGACTTAAATTCTTGGCCATTCTGCTCCTAACTCTCCAGGTCCCAATCTGCTTGTTATTAAGAGATAAGATTCTGTCTGGAATGTGGTTTTTAAATTAGACATTTCCAGAGCAACTTTGTTTTCACTCAGAAGTACACAGTTATTGAACATGTTGAGACACCATTTAATTTTTGTTGACGTGCGTACGCAGCTGGAAGTTGGCTTTGCCTGTGGTTTGGGTTAAAGGCCTGGCATTGGGTGGGCCTCGTTGACTGTAACTTTGCTGCCACGTGGTTTGCTTTCTTAGAAAGTCTTCTGAGCCATGTGAGTGTTGTTTTAGCTCAAGCCTACTAAGTCATGTCCAGGTGACCTCCAGTAAATACTGTACCTTTCAGAAGTCAGGAGTGACTTCCTTATACATAAATCTCACGTCTCTGATTATTTCCATGGGATGAATTCTCAAAAGTCGATCAGAGTATTTGAACATTTCTAATTGACATGACAGAGGCAGGTATACAGAGATGCGCAGAGAGTAAGTTAGGGGTCAGGAGAGGTTTGGGCCCCCCTGTCTTACTAGATTATAGAGTCATCCGGGTGTGCCTGCTCTGACCTTTGAAGGCCTGAGTGGTAGGGAGGACACACTGTCTCATGTCAGCAGCTCATTGGTACACCTGGAATAAACGGACACATCCTTGTGGGCAGAAGTTGGCATCAAGGTTAACTACTGCAAAAGTTGGTGTGTTTTAACATTTATTCTGCAGACCCCAGAGCTCAGATTTTGTCTTAACGCCCTTGTGTGACATAGAAACCTTCAGAGGTCAGCTGCTGGTGTGGTGTTCGGGGCTCACTGTGGCCTGTCCGTCAGAGGTAGTGGCCCTTGCAGCGTCAGAACTGGAATCCAGTCGAATCTCCTCTCCTGTTAGGCCTCAGCCGAAGGAGCAAATTAGTTGCTTCCTAATATTTCCAGCGCTAATATTCTGTGCGTCTTTCTAAGCAAATAAAAGATCTTTAAATTTAAAAGGGAGAGCTTAAAAACGTGCCGGTTTAGTTTCTCCCGTCTTTGATCAGTAAAGATAGATAAGGTGAGGTGCAAACTTACAGAATTTTCACTGAGAATCTGCCATGAGCCAGATTTGGTTGGATTGTAGACAGAGTTCTTGTGACTTGGAAAGAAAGATTGGGCCCTTTGGGAATTTCTCTTTTTCGAAAGGTTAGCATTGGACCAAAGGTTAATTAGAGCAGTGACTTCCCTGAGCAGCTTCTGAGGCCTCTGGGTGGGCTCGCAAAGCTCTGATCCACACAGTGAAAAAAACCTAATTGGGTCCTGCCAGTGTGGCTCAGTGGTTGAGCGTCACCCATGCACCAAGAGGTCACCGGTTTGATTCCCAGTCAGGGCACATGCCCAGGTTGTGGGCCAAACCCCAATGGGGGGCATGCAGGAGGCAGCCGTTCAATGTTGTCTCTCATTGATGTTTCTCTCTCCCCCTCTCACTTTTTCTCTCTCTAAAATCAGTAAGTAAAAAACTTTAAAAAAAAACCCACACAAATTGGGCCAAAAGGCAGTGTGTAGGCTCCATGGAGAGGGTTGTGATTGCTTCTGTGCCTTGTGCCTTCCCGTGTGCATGTGCACACTGACTGGCTGCTTACATGCATGCAAGGGTATTTGCTTATGTTCTTCCCCTGCGAAATCGAAGAAATTAAAACTTACTGTTGGCCATGGAGAATATGGAGGAAAAACGTGCACAAAAAGCAGCTGAACTCCACTAGGGTTGGACCTTAGTTTAAAGCCTGTTTTGAAGGAATCTTCCAGGTGTGCTGTTCTGCACACCCATTAGCACTTTCAGCCAAACTGTTTTGGATAAAATCACAGTTATTTTGAAGATTCTTAGAGTTCTTTACTTTGATCATCAGCCTACACAATAAAGGGGTACATGAAGTATGTCAGCCAGTTAGATGATCCCATGGGCCTGATGAGAGGAGTCTTAATGCACAGAAAGGGGCCGGTGGCATTTCCACCTTGGAATCATCCGATTGTATTTTCTCCAGTGTGATTCTTCCCGCTTTGTCGATGACGGCTGGCAGAGTTGGAAGGTGTTGAGAGACCATTTACAAGAGCTGGTGGGAGGGGAAAGAATCCTCTCGGTTCCCTTTCCAGAGGCGAAGGAGTAAGCCTCCAGCAGTAGGGCAGCCTCCCCTTAAGAATACTCGGATAAAGTATCCTAGATTTATTTGGGGGAGGATTTGATAACAATTTTGTCAGATTATTTTTTCAAAGATTGTAGAAACTAACAGTTGCTCAGATTGGTTTATACTCGGTTAAGAAAAGAGAATCAAATTTGTGAAAGACCTCCAGCTTTCTCGTTTCTTCTTTATTTTAAAAATGCTTTTATTGGTTTTTGAGAGAGAAGAAGGGAGAGAGAGAAATATCCGTCGGCTGCCTCCTGCACGCCTCCTACTGGGGATGGAGCCCGCAGCCCAGGCGTGTGCCCTGACCGGGAATCCAAGCGGACGGCTCAGTCCATGGGACAACCGCAGTCCGCCGAGCCACACTGGTCGGGCCAGCCTGCTCATTTCTTAGAGATGTTGCCTCCCCTGTGGAGGAGGCAGGCAGATGAGCAGGCACAGAGATGCCAAGCAGGTGGTCACTAAGCACCAGCCAGCCCCTGAGCACAGAGCCCGCCACGTGTGCTCCGGAAGGGCGGGCAGCAGGCCCACACGGCCTGTCCCTCTCCCGGCCCCGCCGTGCTGGGAGTTGCCGAGCCAGCCCGGGACTGGCAGCTGGCCACGGCGTGCCGACTCCTGTCGTCTGTTCACGAGGGTCTCGCTTGCCGAGCCCTCCGCGTGGTGTGCGGCTTAGCTCCAGAGACGGGTCGGCGGCCGCGCCTGCCCGCTGTGCCTCGTCCTGGCGTCCCGAGCCATTCCGTCTGCCTAGGAGACACGCCTCCGGCGGTCACGCCCGTGGGCCACGGGTGACGGGAGTCACCGCCGGTGGACTTCAGCCCGACTCGGGAAAGCGGGAGGAGTCGGGGTTGGTCAGGGTGAGGAGGGCTAGGCGAGGCCGGGCCGTGTAGCCAGATCTGCTCCTGGGCCCTCCTTCCCCTGCAGCTCGGCTGTCCGGAGGGGGGACCCATCCGGCGTCCTAGAGGGTGAAGAGGGTGAAGAGGGTGACCTCCTGAGCAGCACGCGGCCACGCCCAGCCTCCGCCTGCCCCGCCTTCCGGGTCTCGGCCAGCCGGCCGGCGTCCTGCCTGGATCCGCTGGGGTCCCGGGCTGTCTGTGGGTCTCATAGTGGGTGAGAAAGTACAGAGGCACAGTCCCTTCTTTCAAAAGCGAGGGAAACCCTCTTAAGTTTGGTCAGTATTTTAGGAGAGGACACTGAAGTATGTCGTCGTGCAAGGGAAGGACAGCTCACCCTGGCTGCTGGGGTCTCAGTTCAGTGTCCGCCCCGGAGTGGCCGAGGCTAAGGCCAGGGCGGGGCCGGTCCCGTGTGGAAGGGGGGGAGGGGAGCGGGTCCCGTGCGGAGGAGGGGGGGTGAGGGAGGGGAGCGGGTCCCGTGCGGAGGGGGGTTGAGGGAGGGGAGCGGGTCCCGTGCGGAGGAGGGGGGGTGAGGGAGGGGAGCGGGTCCCGTGCGGAGGAGGGGGGGGTGAGGGAGGGGAGCGGGTCCCGTGCGGAGGGGGGTTGAGGGAGGGGAGCGGGTCCCGTGCGGAGGAGGGGGGGGTGAGGGAGGGGAGCGGGTCCCGTGCGGAGGAGGGGGGTTGAGGGAGGGGAGCGGGTCCCGTGCGGAGGAGGGGGGGGTGAGGGAGGGGAGCGGGTCCCGTGCGGAGGAGGGGGGGTGAGGGAGGGGAGCGGGTCCCGTGCGGAGGAGGGGGGGTGAGGGAGGGGAGCGGGTCCCGTGCGGAGGAGGGGGGGGTGAGGGAGGGGAGCGGGTCCCGTGCGGAGGAGGGGGCGAAGGCCTGAGCGCTGCTGAAGCAGGTTATCACAGATTGTTCTAGTCCCAAGGTACAGTTTTGGTGAGCGGGGTGAACCTGAAAAATGGGAAAGGTTGACCCAACCCCTAGAATGTTCTCCTGCGGGAACGGAAAGTCTGGAGGAGGTGGCTGGGTGGAAAGTGCAGAAACAGACTTCAGCTCCATGAGCTTGGCTTGTGCCCACTAACAGCTGCAGACACCTGCCAGCCTGGGAGCTGCCTGGGTGGACTGTGCGTGCCCAGCGACAGCTCCCTTCCCTGGGGCGTGGGAGAGGCCCCAGTGGGAGGCCACATGCCATTCTGGATCCCAAGTGGGTATGGAATAGAGTGTGTGTCTGTGAGCTGAGATAGGATTTTATTTTTTTAATATATTTTTTTTCTATATTGATTTTAGAGAGGAAGGGAGAGATGGAAACATGATGAGAGAGAACATCAATTGGCCGCCTCCTGCATGCTGCACACTGGGGATCAGGCCCACAACCTATGCATGTACCTTGACCGAGAATTGAACCGGCAACCTCTTGGTGCATGGGTTGACGCTCAACCACTGAGCCCCACCGGCTGAGCAAGACTGAAGATTTTTTGGCGTTAAAGCATTTTCTCTGTGTAGTCATCAGTCTTATCTCACACAGGAAGCCTTAAGGGTTCCCAGCACGGATGGTAATGAAAGGTGTGAGGGCCACAGGAAAGGAGATAAGTCCAGTCGGAGTGTCAAAAGTCAGCACTCTGGGCTTGTTAGTGGAGGGATTGACCCCCACACAGCAGTGGCCCTAGTAGCGAGCGTCCCATGGTGCGTAGACACCCAGTAGCCACTGGAGGGTGTCCTCACAGGGTGGCTGACTCCCGCTGAGGAGCCCCTGTGTGGGGCAGAACAGGGGTGGTCTCTTTAGCCTTAGCCTACCTGGTACAATTAATTTTCTCTGTGTTTACCCCTCACCTCAGGTTTCGTTAGGAAATAAGGAAAGAAGCAAAGGTGTATTCTACAAAGCACTTCAAAATTGTCCTTGGGCAAAGGTAAGTTCTAAAGACTGTGGTGTCTCCCATTGTCCAGGGACCTTCCTGCCAAGAGTCAGGTCACCCATGTGTCTGCCTGGCCTGTACTGTCGGAGCCAGGGCACATCCAGGCCTTTCTCAGCGGAACTGCCCCGAGCCAGTGCGCGTTTCCTGTCTGCGGTGGAGCTGTTTCAGGGGGTTGCTGTGGGCAGCTGGGTTCCCCATTTGCCCGGAGCTCAGCCCAGAAGCTGCAAGCATTGGCGCTGTGTCCCAGGTCTGCCCTGCAGAGCCCAGGTCAGACGCTCAGCAGTCAAGTTGGTGGTGACTGCCCTGTCCACCAGTCAGTTCTGTCCCACTTTGGTCCGCTCCCTTTCACTGTGCCCGAGTTCAGTGCCCTTCCTGAAGTGTGCCAAGGGGCTGCGGGTGAGTCAGGACAGTGGAGGGGCAGCAGGGCAGGCTTGCTGGAACAGGAGTGGCTGGTGACCAGGGCGCTGGCTCTCCCGCCCTAGGTGCTGTACATGGATGCCGTGGAGTACTTCCCCGATGAGATGCAGGAGATCCTGGACCTGATGACCGAGAAGGAGCTCCGGGTGCGCCTGCCCATGGAGGAGCTGGAGCTTCTGCTTGAGGACTAGAGGCCCGGGGGCGTGGGGACCCCCTCCGAGGCCACGTTGCCTGCCCTGTGGGGGCAGGGTGAGCCAGAGATGGTGATACACGCGTGCGAGCATGTCAGCAGACCTGTTTTTAAAGTTTCTTCTAGATAATGTCTGGGTTGTCAGTCACTCATCTCTCATACATTTTCTGAATGTGCAAATGACACACAAGCTCCCGTTTTACATGTTATATATGTGAATCTGTGTACAGACAAGAATGAATCAGGCTATGTGTAATTAAACCTGTGTGGTTGGTGTGTGTGAGCTGTTCTGCTCCTCTGCCTGGCCAGTGCCAGCCCTGCCACTGAATGTACCCACTCAGGTGGCATCCATGGTGGTCCTTGCCCAGTCTTTTGGGTTTTGCAGTCACAGTAAGAAAGGTCTGGTTACTCAATACTGGGACCTCCTCCTGCAGGGCTGGTTAGCAGGAGAGCAGATTTTGCCTCATCTTCAGACCAGAGCAGTCGAGAGTCATTTAAAACTTGGGGTTTTGTTTTTAATTTTTTTTTTCTTTATTGATTTTAGAGCGGAAGGGAGAGGGAAAGAGAGATGGAAACATTGATTGGCTGCCTCCTGCATGCCCCCCACAACCTGGGCATGTGCCCTAACCAGGAATTGAACCCAACCTCTTGGTGTATGGGTCGATGCTCAACCAAGCCACCCTGGCCGGGCTGTATTTAGTTTCTTATTGTCCCCTAAGCCTTCTCAGTCGGTGATGCCTCCATCTGTGGACCAGCAGCAGCACCTGGGAGCTTGTTAGAAATGCAGGCTCAGGCCACGCCCCAGCTCTGCTGAGTCAGAATCTGCATTCAGACAGGACCCCGGGGGCTTGTGTGCACATTCATGTGGACGGCACTGTCTGAAGAAACGAGGAGTCCTCCTGCAGGGAGCCTGCCAGCTCCTCCCACCAGGCCCACCTGCCCGCGTGACATGCTGAAGGTACGCTTCCCTGTGAGGCCCAGACTGGCTGCATCCTGGTTTTCATTTCTAAGGGCTGCCCAGCTTTTCTGGGCTTTTAAAAATCATGATCTTTAGAACTACTGAAGAAAAATGTCAGCAGCTCATCCAGAAAAGCCAGTGGCGTGGACTAGAATTTTGGCTGGAAGCTGATGGACATTGGGTTGGGAGAAGGGAGGGCAACCTGGCTGGAGCACTTTCTAGGGCAGTGTCTCAGCGCGCAAAGAGGTTGACAGCCAAGTGGATGCTTGCTGCCCCACTTACTGGCTTGAAGACTAAACTGTTCAGAAAAGAAAGAGAAGTGCAGGAATTAGGGGACAAGCTCCTACATTTTTAGATGCTCTTGAGAAGGATGAGGTTCCTGAGCCCAGGAACAAGGAAGGCAGGGCTAGCATGAGAGTCTTGGTCCCTGACCTACTCAGATTTCTCCTAGGAAACCAGTCTCAGCAGCACTAATGCGTCTTTCCTGCCCGGAGTGCTGAGAACCCACAGCTCCACACACCGTCCAGAAAGGAAGGCATTTCCTTCTGAAGCCACAGGAACACAGCCTTTGTTGCTGAAGCCTCAGAGATGGTTGGCATGTGATTATGGTCACATCCCTCCCATCAGCTGCTGTCGTACAGCACCACCAGCTCGGGGCGTGATATGGGGGCAACAGGTATTGAAGTCTGCGCTCTTGTGACTGCCCAGTCCACCCACTTGTGCTGCTGAGGGGCAGTCGCAGAGGTTCCAGAAACAGGATGAACTACTGAGAAAGAGCTTGCTTTATTGGGAATGGAGCGCCGCACGAGGGCATCCTACACGATGCTCAGGTCGTACACAGTGCACGGAATGTGCTGCTAACGGACACGGGCTGGAGCGGGCTCCTCTGGGCATCTCCCCCCCCTCCTCGGGATCCGGCACTCCCAAACACTTCCTTGACACAACTCTAGTTTGCTAGAGGTAGAGCCCCTCAGGGGTGCCTTCTTGTTTTTTATACAGAACATTTTCTTTTGACTTTTTGAAGTCTTCATTTGTCACTTTCATCCTACGTTCTCTTAAGGCCATCAGACCAGCTTCTGTACAGATTGCCTGTAAGAATGAACAGTATGTTCAGAAAGTGAAATACTTTAATTCTAACAACTCAGAGCTATTTTTGAAATAAGGTAGAAGACACTCAGATTAAACACAAATCGCTCAAATTCATTGGAGGAAAAATTAAGATTTTTTAAAATGTGCTAAGCATTCTAATTATTTTCTCAAAGGATCTGAGATGGCTTAGACTGGAGTAATTAAGGAAGAGGACTGGCCAGGAAGTAAGGCTCCGGGTTCTAGCACTGGCTCAGGCGCCAACAAACTGCATGGCCTGGCAGGTCAGTGAGTCCTCACAGCATTACTTCCTGAAAGGGAGTGATATTTTTAAGAAATAGGTGAAATTATACCTGGAAATTTAGAGGCAACATAGAATTTATGTCCATTTCACCTACCTATAGTCATAAGAGAACATGCATTCTGGGCCAATACTGTAAGTTGCAGTATAGTATTCATTCTAATATTTTTAATTACTTGCCAAAAGTAGGACAAAACAAGAACCATCATGCAATACGATATAACAAAAACACAATCCTGGCATCAAATCCTGGTTTGATTATGGCCACAGGACAGTTCAAATGGTTCAGCAGAAAGGAAAGTGTGTTTGTGCACAGAAAGATAAAGCAAACAGGTAAAATGGTAACATTTGGTAAATCAATGTGCGGGTATATGAGCGTTTACTAAGTTGCAACTTTTCTGAAGGCTTAAAATTTTTCAAAAAAGTTGGTGCAAAATTAAATTTGTTTTAAAAAGAGAACCCTGGCTGGTTTGACTCGGCAGTTTGTGTCAGCCCATGGACCAAAGGGTCTCGGGTTCGATTCCAGACAAGGACACGTACCTGGGTTGCAGGTTCAATCTCTGGGCCTGGTTGGGGTCATGCAGGAAGCAACCAATGGATGTCTCTCTCTCAAAAAAGGAGGTGGGGGGAATAACCTAGGATAAGGATTAACCAAAAAAAAGAGAGATTTTACTTAACCCAACTGAGACAACGTAGTTCTACAGATGCCAAGGATATGCAGTTCTGCGCAGGCAGCGGCATGAGAAGGCCTGTCTGTCATCGCATCCCTACCTAACCATGGTCCTTAGCCTGATGGAAACCCAGGTCTTCCAATAAAAAGGATGTAGCAAAATCCAGTGCTGCCAGGCCTTGTTCTGAATGCTGGTCACCTGGGAAGATCCTAACTCATACACGGACGTGGTAAAACCAAGAGTTAGTCAGCCCAGGTTCTCACCTTGATGTCAGCACCAGAGAGGTCATCCTTAGCCATGATCAAGTCATCCAGTGTCACGTCATCAGCCAGTGTCATTCTGCTCGTGTGGATCTGAAAGATGCGCTTCTTGGTCTTTTCGTCAGGCAGGGGGAACTCAATCTTCCTGTCAATGCGACCTGCAGGCACAGAGGTTTCAGAGGCGGCTCTGCAGCCCCAGGTGTGCCCTGCTCAGGGCGAGGGCCACGCCCTTCTCACAAAGGTTCAGTGTCCTTTGTGAAGGAGGTCTAAATCTTAAAAAGGGAACATTCATCTTTGTAGTTGGTAAACTTTTATGTTTGAATTCATCTATTTAAAAGAAATCCTCTCTGGCCCTACCTGGTTTTGCTCAGTGGTTAAAGAGTAGGCTCCATAGACCAGAGGGTCTCAGGTTCGATTCAGTCAAGGGGTTTGATCCCTGGCCCTATTCACATGGGAGGCAACCAAATTGATGTCTCTGTCTCTCTCTTTCCTTCCCTCCCTCCCTTCTAAAAAGAAAAAAAAAAAAAAAACCAATGGAAAAATATCTGAGTGAGGATTAACAAATAAACAAACAAATGAAAGGAACAGTTCCTGAAAGACATGTTTAGTGCAAAAGGACAGATCCATCCTGTTAAAAACATGAAAGAAGAAACAAATTAGCTACTCCTTGTGTTGCTTAATTAATGTAAAAAAAGGAACCTAAACTATCATATCATTTCTTCAGGCAAAAGAAGTTCTTGAGGCATTTAAAAGGAATATTTGGGAAAGAAAACATCATGTCAGATTGGAATTGAAAGAATGAAGCTGCACAGACTGTATCACATTATCTATAATCTAAAGGGACATAGTTTTAAATTTATTCTAAATTCCAATGTAGTATTCGCTTTTATTTTTGTTTTGTTTTTTATCCTCAGATAGAGTGGGAGGGGGAGAGGGGGGAAGAGAGAGAGAGAAACATCAATGCAAGAGAGACACATTGACTGGCTGCCACCCACATGGCCAGGGCCGGGGACAAACTGCAACCGAGGTAAGTGCCCTTAGCGGGAATTGAACCTGGGTCTCTGGTCCACAGGCCGATGCTCTAACTGCTGAGCCAAACTGGCCAGGGCAGTATTTGCTTTATATGTGTCATTTTAAAATCTCCCAAAGTACACTTAAGAGATACAAATACATATGAACACACTGATTCTCCGTGATGAACCAAAAAGCAAATATGACCTGGTCTGATAAGTGCTGGATCCAAAGTTTCTATTCGGTTTGTGGCCATGATAACTTTCACATCTCCCCTTGAATCAAATCCATCCAACTGGTTCAACAGTTCCAACATCGTTCTCTGAATTTCTCTCTCACCACCGGAATTTGAGTCATATCTTTGGGGGAGAAGAAAAGGAGAAGGAATGAAGACCCAACTGATCTCCTAATGGGGAATTACAACAGAACACCTCAACATTCTCCTCTCGTATGTCACACCCTCCCAAAAGCCAAGTTACACATCTCCTTATTTTCTTCGTAGCAGTTTTCATGGCCAAAGTTGTATCATTCATTCTGTCTCCAAGTTTGGTGTCCCCCAACCTGCTGTGAGCGCTTGAGGGCTGAGACTTGTGTTCATGTCTGTGTCCCCAGAATCTAGATGGAACCTGGCTCACAACGGATGCTCAGGTTATGATTACTGACTGCCCCATCTCCAGATTCACGTCTCGGTACTTGGGAGAGCAGAGCCTAGAACACCCAGAGAGCCACATGGTAGGAACGGTGGCAAACAATGTCCAGGCCACACAGGGAGTGCCAAGAGACTGTTCACTCGCAGAGAAGAGCTACATGGTTACCTCCAAGAATAAAAAACAGGTAAAAGAAAGTCTACCTTTTTGTCCCAATGGCATCAATTTCATCAATAAACACAATGGATGGTGCATGTTCTTCAGCAACTCGAAACAATTCCCGAACGAGCTTGGGCCCATCGCCTAGGTACTTCTGAATGAGTTCAGAGCCAACCACTCGCAAAAAAGTGGCTGAGGTTTGGTTTGCTACTGCTTTGGCTAATAAGGTTTTACCTATTTTAGACGTAAAAAGACAAAGGTGAAAAAAACCTCACGTGGTGTTTTTAACTTACAAACTCTGTCATTACCAACTTAAATGGACATTAAAAATGGGTGGACTCCTATGATGAAAAGGCATGCCATCATTCCGATGTCTGTTCCCCAGGCTGTCCAGTGTGGGCAGTCCCCAGCACAGACCCTCTCGGGTATGTGGTTTTAAGTCAATCAAATGACCGTCTTCCTTTGTTATTT